GGAGTTGCAGACGGACAGACGGATATGGTTAAAGATAAAGAGAATCGATGGTACCGATGGACTCTAGACCCAGACATGGGGCACGGGGCTCGGCTAGGCCGATGGTACGACGGCAAGAGGAGACGGACTACACCGCCAGGAAATAGATAGTCCGGAGCAATAAAGAACCACTCACTTCACGAGCGAACCCTCCACGGGGATGGGAATAGGACAGGTGGAAGGCGGGACGAAGGTAATCACTTATCTACCCCCGGGTCCCAGCTACGGAGGGGGGACTGCCGTTGGCGCCAGGCGAGCCGCAGGCCCGGAACGAGGAGGGGAAATTAAGCTGGCTGTGCTGCCAATGAACGGGGCTTCGTTTGGGTCAATACTGCGTGTCGAGCCGTGCTCGCACGGTGCTGTGATCTGGGGAGGGTATATGGGAAGATGGATGGACGGGGGGAGAGTGAAGTGAAGTAGATGACGGGACGGGGGCCTGGGTGATACGGGGGAGGCTTTTCGCGCCAGGGGATCGACATTATTACGAGGGTGGCTGAGGGTCGAAGGAAATTATGCAGAGACGAGACTTGCAGCATCAACTTAACGCTGACAGTCACAGCGAAGGTCTATTATGTCTGCACGGGTTGTATTGTGGATAAGAGATTTACCGCGACTGTATTATACCAGATCTTGTGTATGAATTTTCATTTCAAATAGCAACCATTTCAGAGTCTGGCGACTTTCCTGTCTTGTTAATTCACTCTAACGCTTTCATAGGACAAAGCCAAATATCATGCGGCACACCAGACAATCCCGGACTACAGAAACGAGACAAAATTTATTTGTGTATTTCTTCCCCAAGCAAGAAGTCTGGGGTTATCAAAATCTCTTTTTTAGCGAAGAAAAACTCTGATTTTGAAGCACTCAGTTGGTTCGAAGTCCAGTGAAAATTGTTCATGCGATAAGACATTAAGGAAAGTCAATAATGAATCAGGTATCAACAAACAATTATGCAATAGAAATCAACATTTCCTTAAAACAAGTACACTCGATAAATTTTGCAGAGAATAATAGTCTTGGAAGCATTTGATCGATATCTCGCTTATTGTCATTTTAACGACTCTCGCGGTATCGCGCAGGCCACTTCACCAAATGCAGTGTCCACGTTGGGATGTTACTGCATCTACATCTATATAGTTTGCCGGCTCATCGTCCGGCGTGCAGTCTATCGCCTACAGATAACGCCGAAAAAAGAACCTCTTAATCCGGCCAGCCGATGCCTTGGTTGTCACGGGGGAGATGAGTTGAGGGCGTAGGGTAATGAAGTCTGGAGACGCGGCACCACGCGCTCAGCTGTCTATAACACCCCCGTCCTATCCTGAGCTGCGTAGGACAAATCACCAGCTCAATAATGCGCCTCGTCAGCACCCTGTGTCTCATCCTTCATTCGGTGATAGATCATGTTTAACATGTGCCCTTATTCAAATAATGTGGCTCGCGATGATCGTCGATATTTTCGGCTGGAGAGAAAAGTACAGTTGTAGATTTGACACGCTCCGAATTTTAAGTGCAGGACGGGTTTTTAGAGCTGTCCTGACAACTTCATGGCTAATACAAAAGTGTAATATGTTGGTACAAACACCGTTTAAAAAGGAAATGGTATTGTATTGGGTACTGTTATATAGAAAGGTATGCTTGAAAATAGACGACGATTGCAAAATGACCGTCCAGATCTGAAGTAATGTTTGAACTCCCTACCTGTTCCGCTAATAACAACGACCGTGGTGTTAAAATGTCGCGCCATTAAGATTAAGTAGTAAAACAACACGTGTCTTAAAGTGTCAAGTATTAACTGCCAATAGAGGGCGCGGTTATGTCTCAAGTTACTCTGGCTGAAGACTGAAGACGCTGTAGTTGTTCGAGTCGAGACAATCCAAACTTCGCTGCCAAGACTCATGAGAGCAACTTCTAAGAACTGATGTCAGAGGAGGCATACAAGCATCGCGAGATGATAGTCACGTACGACGGAAGACTGACATGCTCACTTCTGTTCCATTTGGAATCCAGGAAAACCAAACCACGCGCCATTGGTAGCTTTGTACGTACCTGACTTGCCATTTTACCTGTAAACATTTGCTTGTCCATGTTTCAGTTCTCTCATGGATGTATGAATCAAAATGTGAAGGGTATTTTTTTAGAGCGATATCGGGCAATCATGCATATGGCACATGGTTATTCTAGTTTCTGGGGACAAAACCAAACCAAGTTGGGGAGCCAGGTTGGCGTAGTGATTCTTTCCTTGCTTTCTGGGTTCAAATCCTTCCCGGTGCACAGGTGGACTGGGTTTTCAGTCCCAACTTTATTCCGTGTGGTTTACCCAGAACATTTCTCTGGGGTTTTTCTCCCACCTCTAAAATTGTAACTGCTTCTCATTGTTTCCTCTCTACATGTTTTTTCAAGGCTTGCGAGCTACAGTGCTTAGGGCACTTTTGGAGAATCCAACTTTGTCTATTTTCACAAAAGGACAAAAAACATTCGGCGAGGAGGCCCGGAGAAGTGTGAATACTGATGGGTTTACCATTTATTACGGCAAAATGATTATGCACGTTGTTTTGAGAAAGGCCAAACCTGACTGGGACTTGAACGCAGGTCTATATCCTGAAGCCGTTTGGCCCGCATTTATAGCTTGCATTTGCATGTTTTTCTAAACAGTTGATGGTATACTTTGCAACGTCTGTGCCTGGTCGTTAAAAGTGCAGGCTGGGGTTGGCACACATATGAGGCCCAGTTAAACAGTTCACTCGGTATAAAGGTGCGCATTGGGTCACTGTTTTTTTCCAGATCGCTATATATTTCAGGCTCGTACTTAACCCTCATCTGTGACTTAATAAACCACGCTGACAAGTTGCATTGCCTGCGCAGACACGACTCTTGATCAGTAAGACTAGATTTAACGTTCACTGTTTGCATATCCGTCTGCCAATATGATAAAGCTTTACCCTATTTTAATGAAAGCACCCTATCATGGAAAGCCCGTTGCTTAATGTTACTCTTCCAAGGGTTGCGTGTTCCACACTCGGACTGTGCGCCATGTCATAAATTTCTTTGTTGAAATCTACCTATGTTCCCGTAGCAATTTCATTTCCATTTTTATTCATAGTCTGAGCTAGCCTAACGTGAACTGTCTGTCACATGCCAGTGTTCAAGGTAAAGTTGCACCATGAAAGGTCGAGGACTTGGAGCCTTAATGGAACTCAGTCACCCCCACTCTATCTGGGCACAGAGAGGTAGGGGCAAAACATGGCGGAGTTGTCACACGCTGTACATTTAGAAAAGCCTTTAGTGCATAACCTATTGTGTTTAGTGAGATGGTTGAACACAAATAACAGGGAATATGAGTCACGACGATGATCAGTGTGAAAAAATACTATGATTTTTACCAGGCAAACGACTGTACTCAAGTCAATGCGAATTTGAAATTGGTAACGACGGCACTCGTCGAAAATAATTCTGCATTCTGAGATTTGTTGAACAGAGGTGGGAGGGATTACTTATAAACTTTCTTTTGGATAGATGCTTTACCTTAGATGGATTATTAAAAGTCATTTCCTGTTATGGTTCCAAATCGGATATGGACTAATTGATGCCATTCAACTGCAGAAATATTGAGAGTTAATTGCACTGACATTAGGAAAGCGTTTGAGTAAACGCAACCTCCAATAGCCAGTCCAGAAATGGGAACGATAAAATAATTGCTTGAAATACAGATTTGGGCAATTCATCCATATTGTTTAGATGGAGCTTATAAAAAACAAATGAAAAATACGGCTGCTGTAAGTCCGATTCTGGGTGCAAAGATTCTGCCCAAGTAGCCCAGCTATGAGCGCCAATGTGGACAGAAACGACAAATGGTAACAGACCTAAAGGAACTTTACCAATTATTTACGGCCTGCAGGTGTACATTAAGGCTTGGGAAAAAACTGTCCTAATTATGTTGGGTCCAACTACTAGCGGTATATCGCTTAAGATATGCCCTGCTTATTGCGACGAGTCACGTCATGTATCTAATTCGCTCAAACGCCGTACGTATTCTACTTTAAGTGCTGGACACTTCGGCGGCACATTGTGCGACACGTACCCAGCCAATGCATCCGCCAACGTTTTTAAATAAAGAGCGGGCTTGCGGGGCTCGCGGGGCTCGCGGGTATGCGCGAGCACCTCATTAATATTAATGACAATCTTCACGGTTGAGCAAGCTATTAATATGCATGATCCTGAATACCAAAAGAACTCAGCCTACCTAATGCCACGCAAGCAAGTTACGGACATTCATGAGTAGTCTCGGCGTCAGAGTAAGCTGCACATGCTTGAACAAACCATTATAAATATTAATTATTTATCAGCCTAATATCAGCTTCAAGGAAGCCATTCTGAAAGAAGACGATTTCAGCTCTCTGTCTATAGATCCATTGTCTAGCGCGCTACCAGGATGGTCAAGGACGCAGTGAATATGTAATCATCTGTTACCATGGCAATCATACACAAAATGATGCACCCAAACAATGGCGTCGTTTAATATACCGCCAGGCTGGACCCAAACATAATAAAAAGGGCCAGTTGGAGCTTGAACGGACGACGGTACGAACAATGGAGGCTGAATTTGTTATCACACGATCGTCTATCCTGACAAAAACATACAAACTGCGAACTGGCATTCAGTGTAGGATGTCTAAACGTACATTTCATTCATTCTTTTGCTGTTTAGAGATGCAACTATCTGATTAATATAAATGACGTGATAGTTACTTGAACCTCTGATACGTTGAGAATTCTACATTAAAAATGGACTGAGGGTCACTGGCTTCCAATTTGAAGCTGTATGAGAACAAACATCATTATAGCACATGTCAAGTTCAGCTGATTTGTTTTTCAGATCGATTGTTTCATGGTACATATATAATGGAACCACGATGGGTCAAACTGTCGCAACAAAAATCACTTCAAGGTTTTTCGGCACCTACCGTTGTTTTGACGGGCACAAACAGAACCTCCTTCGGCCCCCCTCGCTGTCTCTTGCCTGGAGTCCCAAGTTTGAATCCTTTGGCACGCACCCAGAACCGAAACTTGGTGCTCTCTGCACCAGCTGGGCCCGGGCTACCACGTAGGAACCCGGTAATTCTCTCGTACTTGCGACGAGTCACTGTCTTCGTCTTCCCGCTGTCTCCGTAGTTCTGGAGAGCCCAGTTCTGGTAGCGGGACCTCATGTCTGAGCTCCGCTCTAGCGAACTCATGTGACACGTTCCACAAAAATATACTCAAGTCTAAGAAATCCCAGCCCACAAAAAGAGCGTCCTTAAAAGCTTTGATCAAAATCTGTCTAAAGTATAGTGATCTTTGATACTAGTGACTTCTCACTCAAGACAGATGCTGTTCACAAGTTTTCACGCGGGCATTTGGGGTGTGGGAAGGATGGCCAGTGTATTCTTCTATGCTTCTTGCAACCTTCACTCGCTCTGGTTACCGGTTTTCAGCTCCTCGTTGTCGAGAAAACCCTAATCGATCACTTTCACTCAAGCAAGCCTTGATGTAACACAGTGTTCTGCGTTCAATTCTTCGTGTTCACATCAACACGGTGCTTGTTGTGTCTACGTTTATCTCGGTAGGTCTAATGACGATCGCTCTTTTGGCAAGACGCCGAAATAAAGTCTGCTGACCAATGCTAAATGTCCCGAGTGCACTCAAGAAAAGTTCCGCCAAGCCATTGAGGGATTGGTTACGAATTCTGAGTCTGGCCAGTCAGGGTAGGCCTCGTATGTATCGGTTGGCCTCCCCGTTCAAATTTGACCAAAGGAACCACGGTGGCCTGACGTTTTATTGCAGGCGAGAAGGAATGAAGTCTGAGCGTCCCATGCGCGGATCAAACCACAGCAGGACCTAGGGTGAACTCCAACACGTTCACCGGGCTAGGATTTCGTAAACATTTCCCCGCGAAGGGAGCAAAACAATCCAAGGGGCTGATAATGAAGCCGAGTTCTCGATGTAAGGCAACACTGACTGGGTGGGTATGACTTGCAAGGGTGCGTCCTCTGCCCCGATCACTACTGGCCCGGTGCGTTGACGGTGGAGGAAATGAGGCTACCAAGCAGTGGCGCAAAGAAACATTAGCAATACCCTGAACTACGACTCAGGTTAAGGCTGTCGATTGTTACAGGGATCACTCCAAACGCCGTCCAAAGGTCCTGCTCGTAGCACTTAATTTCACAATTCCACTGAATTGGCTGATACTCTCGGCAAAAAACTAAATCTGTCCATTATAATCTGTAGATAGACAATTTCACATTTTCCCCTTCGCGTTTCTGGATAGGACGAACTGCAGATGCTTTATAGAACAGGTTTTTGTCACTGAAATGTTGGATCTCAATCTCACCGTGTCCAGAAATCCTTTTCGTCCCGCTTGCGATTATCATAGTCCTCGCGTCCCGCGAATAATTCGAGCACCCAATGCGAGCACTCCAACTACAGGGAAAAAACCGCTAGACTTTCAGGTTCGCTGCGTCAAATTGGCTGGCGATGTGGGAGCCCGCGAGATAGAGAGAACACGCATAACACTCTCGGGTCACCGCTGGAGCCACGGCCCGTCGACGCTGAGAGACAGGGGAAAAATAATACAAAACGGAGGGTACGGGACAGACTGAATCCCCTCTCGGTAGATCAGGTCTAACTGGGGCTTGGGGCATTCACACTAGCTCCGCCCTACACTGACAGTAAAGCAATGGGGGAAAAAATCAACGAAAACCATAAAAAAAATAACCGCCGCGCGAGGACTGTCGCTGTACCGGCCGCACGAAATTATTCAACCGCCTCGTGGGCTGTTCCCCACGACCGAACGATCAACATCGGCGCTTCTCGCCAGAATTTGCCCTTCTACCGCCCACTCTAAGTCCACTCGTGCCCGGTCTGCCCGATCGCTGCTGTTGGAGGAGATAAAAAACATACACGAGTGAGCACGTGCATCAGTAATGAGTAGATTTTTTTTTATACCTTGCCCGGGACAGGGCTTTTCTTTTTTAATGGCCATCCTGCGGAGCCGATACCACTCAACCAGGTATGTGTTTAATGGCGCGATGCCACCGGTAGCCATTATCATTACTATCAGAACTGCTAGCTTTCGACCTGAGTGATGACTGCTCGCTGGTGCGTCATCATTGGTGGATCAACAACAAAAGTTACCACGAGACGAGCTCAGCGCAGAAGCTAGGCAGCTGTCCCGGATTGGGATGCTGTGCTGCTTGCCTTGTCTCGGATTATTGCATATTCATATAATAACGCGTCTCCTCCCTGCTTCTCCATGGGTCGTATATAATTCGTTGCCTAGCTGCACGCTCTGTACACTTCCAATGTCGAGGCTGAAGTAATAAAGGCGCTCCCGCCATAACAACACACCGAGCCAGGCCGATACCGCTCTCGATCGGTTTTACATGTTACCCCTTTCCATCCCCACCACGCTCGTATACATCGCCTGCCCGGAACTTCTATTAACCTCAGGAACGATGTAATTTCGTTCCGTAGGGGGACGCACACCCTTAATATTTTCGCGCAAAAAAGGGGAGCACAATCGATACTGGAGTACTCGGAGAGAAGACCACATAGACAGAAGCCGACAAGGCGATGGAACGTGATCGGCTGTGCAATTTTTTCTACCGCCATTTCCCTCTTCCACCCCCCCCCCGACAGGACGAGGAGGCTTCGCGCCAATTTTGCAGTCGGACCTTTTTTTTCTAGTGATTTTTTTTTCTGGGGACGCTTAGCTCAGTGTGCTGATAGCTATGGCACAACGAGGCTGAAAATACGCATGGGACAAATTCATTTCGGTCTCAGGGCGGTGTGTCTGGGTGTGTGTGTGTGTGGGGGGGTAGATTTTGTTGGGCCAGGGAGAATTTAACAGTCGTCGGTCCGGGAATACTTCGTGATAGGCTTTAGAGAAGCGGTCAAGCACAAGGCAATCAACTGGACAACCCCACTGCTTCTTTTATAAGGGATCGATAGACTTCCCTTCCAAGTTTGATTGCACCCAGTATTGTTTTGTCCCAGCTTTAGCTATCACAACACAAAATGAACAGACAGATTCATGTGGTTTAACTCAGCGGGAAGAAGCAGAAAGATTGTTAAAATAAGAAAGAAAAGAAGACGAACAAAATCGACCGGTAATGATCATGTTACAAGTGGGCGGGACTGAGTTTGAGCATGTGGATTAAATTGGTGTGCTCAACATATAACAATAAAGGACTAGCCGTCACCGTATTTCAGGGTTTCGGTTTGAAAACAATCCCAACCGAGGTTTAGTTTCACCTCGTGGAGTCCCATTACTAACAACAGCCGGCCACCTCAGTTAACTCGGGCTGTAATTTCCCTGTTGCGTGCGTGCTCATATTGTTTCATTTTGAAACTGCGCAGAATTATGCTCAAAACCTTTCAGCTCGATCGGAGAACCTTGTTGGCAACAACTTCCGAATTTCCTTGGATTTTCCTACTTCGTCTAACCCATTGGCAGAGATCCCCGGGGATGGTGGGTGATATATACCCCACTTTTGACCTAGGGGCAGTGGCGTAACTGGGTGGGAGGGGGTCACTTGCCCCCAAGCGAATGGCCATGCCCCGCTTGCCCCCCCCCCTTTGAAATCCATGAACAACCTCTGCTGCTTTTTTCTTGGGGGATGGGGAGAGGGGGTTACCAGTGTGATCACCCCCCACACACTTTTGAAGTCACTGACTGTGGGCATCCTATTGCCTGCACCACTGACTGTGCACTTGCCAGCATCACGACCTCACCTGGGATGGAGGCCGTGCTAAGCTTTCAGAAATCTCCCCCCCCCCACACACACACACGCGTGACAAGAAATCTCCACCCATGGTAACACCTATTAATTCGAAGTCACAAGCGTGTCTGAGAGACTGATTAAGGTTTTCGAGGGTTTACATGCATTACAGTTAGTCATTAGTCATGTCGATAGGTTGCTACGATTTTTTTCCCTTCCGTCAACGGCTTTGTGATGGCATGATTGGTTGGAATCAGATCTGAACACGAGTACTTAAAAAATATAGAAATGGAATGTGGGAACCAGGTGCGCGTGCGTATTAGTCATTCGGACAGCTTTGGCACGATGTAAACCGATCACAGAACAATGGCAATGGATTGGCTGGACGCCCAACGACACCATCGGGTATCTGCGGCATGCGATTGCGGGTTTTTGTTTTTTTCTCGGCGCCGAGTCGCTCTCCACGCAGTGGACCCGAACGCGCGGTATACGGGTACACCAAAGTATAGAACGAGATTTCCTGATTTGTTTAGCCTGGCGAAATCCTCTCCAACAGCACTAGATATTACTGACGTTAAAGGAAAACTGGTTTGGGATTCTTACAAGCTAGTGTCTAGGTTTCCATCCCGTCTTGGGGCAAAGCGAGATTAAATTTTGGACGAGTCGCATGATGTCTTTCATGGCTGCATACGGAATGCAGACAACTTTACCGTAGACTTGAATGATGTTCGAATTGCAATATTGCCGGACACGTAAAATACCCAAGCTGTGCATTATGTATGATGAGTTTCCGGAAATCATATTTTCCTTACATCAAATAATTCATTGGACATTTTTAATTTCACCTTTTGGTTTATATTCTAATCAATAAAAAATTTCTATACCTTTACACAGAATTGGTTTGTTCATAATTGTGACTGAGCTATGACAACCGTTTCGCTCTTGTTTTCACAGTTTAAAAATTTACTTTCATCTGCTGTTTCAATATATCTTATTCTTTTCTCTTGTGTGTTCACACCATTGTTTAAAAGGAAACCTCTTTCCCTGGTTTTATCTGAAGTTTTTGTTTTTTTCTCAATCTTTCTCTTCAGGTCTCTCGTTATATTTTATGAAAATCAAATGCTATGTCAGCAGAAATAAAGATGATACCGCAAACAGTCATAATCTTTCACATGAAAGTAGTTTTGTCTAAACTTTTAAAGAGGCATTCCCTCAAAGATATTGTAACTGCATCTGCATTGTCGGGACATAGGGGTTGATAATCAGTTTATTCCTTACATGCACGAGCTGGGAAAACATGGGCCGTTTCGGTTTGTACTTGAGCCGCTGGTGGCTCCGCGTAACGACAGATGACACTTAGACCACTTCATCTCATCCTGTTTCACCATCTATTTAAAAGGTTGACCTGCTGTACCAAGTGAAAGCGTTTCCAATTTTGGTAGCATGGGAAATTGTCTGCTATAAGAATGAGGCTTCAGTGAGCCCAGCTCTGACAATTACCAGGAGACTAAATCATGAAACGGACTTTAAGCCAAAAACTTTGAAAAAGCTGTTATTTGGAAAACCCTGGTGACCTACTATACCGCGACTGGCTGCTGTGTGTTTCTTCATCGTCCTATGTACGGGGAAATGTCTTAAACGACGAAAATGCATGAAATATGGGTGTTTACTGTATAGTCCTCATTAACACCAACCCAGCAACGTACGATCGGCCCCCATGCAACAAATATCCTCGGCCTTGTAGAGCCCACACCAGCCAGCACAGCGCTGGAAAATTACACGTTACCATGGTGACGCATCATCGAGTGAGCCGTGCAAGGGCCTAGCCTAAAATGCTGTCTCAGGGCCTGCCGCGGTAGAAGCGGGAGAGGAAAGAGTTGGCCTGACTGCGTCTCGCCCTGCCATAGCCGTGGTGATTGGAGGGGGGGAGGTCGGTCGTCATAACATAATACATGATAATGGGAGGGGATGGGTCGCCCTGGTCGAGACCGTGTTACGGCCCGCTGCGTAACAAATTACCGAAATGGCCTCGTGGGACCACAATGGCGGGTTGTTCGCGCTTGGCTTACAGCGCAGTATTGTGGGCTGATGCAACGGGCTGGCGGCACGCTGCAGCACAGGCCCAGGGGAAAAACAGTAAGCTGGCTGTCCAACTCCCTTGCTCACCTCACAGAGAGTGGGTGGTTTGATCATGCAAGATTCACTGAGAAAAACATCACGAGATTCTCACCTTATGAGTCTCGAGCTTAACCGAGAGAGGGCGTAATTTTCAGAGCAACGGAGGCTCCTTTGGTCGGAACTGAACTTCGTTGGTTCACGCAGGGCTATGAAATGCACGCGATACGGTCGCACCGCTACCAACAAAATGAATACTCCTGACCAATGTGACTCTTTTCAACCGATGAGGGGTACTTCTGCTCGAGGCGGATTATCCATGAAGTAAGTTCACTTCAAAACAAGAATTCAGAGCACAATCATTTTTCCAGAAATTATGTGTCGGACATTTTACTTCGTATGGTATAGATCTCTAATGTCTCAAGTACTTGAAGTCAGTCATTCAGTGAAAATAGGAAAAATAATTAAGAACTGTAGATTTGTCACTGATAACCACCTCTGTGCAGAACAGGAATATACTTAGTTCAAATTTGTTCTTTTGTCCGGGTTTTGACTGGCGACGCGGGACGAGGCATCTGAACCTTTTTCTGGATCGAAAATGCAAGACATGCACTTCAGAAGTTCACTAAATTCGGCCCGTTCTGTGATTTGGCCCAGCAACGAGTCTGATCTGCATGCCCATCACTCTGGCCGGCATGTCCGGGGGGCAATCGCCTCCCTCCCTCCCGCCTTCGGAAAACACGAGAAAAACTCTTGAAAAACCAGTGACAAAAAACCCGAAAGAAGAAAACAGTAATTTCTTCGATTCTCCTCTCTTCCCCCATCTCAACAAGCGCACTAAAAAAAAGTGGGTCGAATTGGGGGAAAGGACCACTTGGAGGTACATTCTAGACTCACATTGGCCACTTCACGATGATTACTTGCTGGCTATAGGATAGCCCGTGGATAGACCGTCCATTAACCGCTGAAGGACCAGGGGTAGCGCGCCTGGGGCCCCGGGGCAAATTCGATGCGTGTGAGGGGGGGCTTCTTGTTTTTCCCTGGCGTAGAGGTATGTAGTGTCTGAAGCAGTCTGTGGTAAATCCATTGCTCCGTTTCAGAAGTTTTCCAATTCGTGGCATGGATCCGACGGAGACAGCGAGAGAAAAACAATCCAATATTTCTGGAATTTGAGGAATCATCACGAAAAAATGGATCGAATTTAGCGTATACAATGTCGTCATTTTGAGCTAAGTTGAAAATAAATTTTCTTGAAAACAGAACTTTAAAATAAAGAATCGCTGACGCAAACAATGTACTATTTTATCAGCCACGGGTTGATGATAAGTCAACAAATTGAGAAAAAATGTAGGCCCTTAAGGCTCACCGTTTCGACAATTAAAGGGTACCCCTTGGGAGATGCAAATATGTTCTCTGAGACACTGTATTGCCACTTGTCTAATTGATTTACAGAGACATTGCTACTACTTCAGTGCTGCATACGGTCATACGATCCTGTTGATCCAATACTGTTTACTTGTAGAGAAATGCTCAACCTGATGAGCAAACCAATTCTTTGACCCCCTCCGATTATCCTCAGCTTTCATCACCGTTTGGAGTTTCCCTCTTTTTCGCCAAATGCAACATCTGCTAATAGGTTGAAGGTGCCAAAACGTTGGCAAGTGAAGGGAGGGGCGTGACGATCCCCCATCTCTGAGCTCATCTGTACTTTCAAAATATCTACTGATAAATGTGACAATAAATTATGTAGCCAGTTCAGCGCAGGGTATAAAATAATGTAAAAAGAATGGAACAAAATGAAGACGAAATTACAAAAGTGCGGCTGGCCAGGTGCATAGGCAAGATTGTGGATTTGTTATTCAAAGCTCTGTGTGAGGACAATGTCATAAAAACGGCCGTAATTGATAAAGATACAATGATCACTCTCTCTCCCTTATCGCCGGTCGGGACGGTCTGTAGGCACTCATCAACTGCCGGCTGTACAGCGCGTGTTTTGCGGAGCCACTCTCTGTTCTAGAGGCTTCAAAAGCCCGCCTCTTTCTCAACCTCAACCAGCGGGTCTAAGAGCCATCACGCACCGGCTACAATTAATCATGACTCCCTCATTGCATTCACCTCTCTGTCCGCACTCTCCTCACCGACTTCATCGTCCTTTTTTCTCAGTTTAAATTTCCCAGCCTTGTCCTAGCCGGCGGGGTCGAAACCTCCACTTTGCACGGAGCGGGAAGAGCCCCACCGTGGGCATAAATTAACGTACTAAGAAATTGGCAGAAATGGGTCGAATCTCTCTGCTTTTTCTTCCCCGAGTTGCCCATTGAAGCTGCAGCTCTCTCTCTCTCTCGGTATGGCTGCGAATCCCCTGAACGCAGGACTTGGCTGTTTGGGCTGTTCAGGTTCTGTCCCGTGCGTGTTGCGCGGAGCAAACCACAGCCAAACTAGGTCAATTAACAGAAGAGGAGACTCAGACACCAGTATCTCGCGCTATCGTGCCCGTGTTGTCCCGAGACCCTATTTTGTGCCTGTGTCCCTGTACCGTGTGGGTAGGCCGTCCTATCGAGCTTGCTCATTAATTTGTATGAATACACATTTTTATGGTGATATACTCATCTTGTACATTTGGGAAAATTTTTTGACTTAAAATGGAAATTAGACATAAAGTAACGTTGACTGCACTGGATGGTGATTTATCCAAGTTAAGGGGTTCAAGGTATGTAGCCAAGGTCAACATTCTTCGAAACATTTAGCTACTGGTAAAAAAATTAGCAGCTCAGTCTGTACGATATTTTAAAAGACACTGCAGTCGAAGCATGACGAAAAGAAAAGATAAATGGATATGAATTCACAGGACTTTTGCTGATCCCTAGAGCTACTGAAGTCAAGGTGGTGGTGATGATGGTACACACAGACACAAGGCATCCACCTTCCGGCAAAAATTAAGGAACTTCCGCCGTGACCATTCCGCACCATGGTCCAGTCGCAAGTCCATACACTCTGGTTGGGCTTGGGCTGGCTCTAAAATGTATAAATGCAGTTGGACAATAACAAATTTGGTGAGTTTTAATTAATTAAGTTATGTAACACTGAGCGCTGATAGCAGGCAGTAAGAATTTTGGGTCTTCCGAAACATTGGAAATCACGATGGGGCTTCGTTAAAAAAGTGCCGAAACGAGAAAAAATCTCATTATAACGTTGTTGAACGTTTAACTTTAGCACACTATTCCATTTGTTGTTGTTTCGTGGTACTTCCTTAGCTTCACTTCATCCCCAGTTCTACAAATGATAACGACGGTAAGATTTTAGTTGCACCGTGGACAGAACTTAGATGCAGAAAATACTCGTTCGCATAGCGCTTATTATTTTCTCTGGTCTTTTATGAATTGCGCCCTCTCTTGATAACACTTGAGTCCTTTTGGCATAACGAACCAACGGTCAAAGGTTAATAAGCCACAAAACATGGAGGAATGAAACTCTCGAAAGGTACCCCGGTTTTTTTTTATTGCTCCTGGACCAAATTGCACTTTGTGTTTCCTTGCCTGAGTCAGTGTATCCATGTGAATTGACTGTTGCCAAATATTAGGTGATATTCTGTGCTGGAAGAAAGGAATGCATTGTTGAAGTTACAGTTGTTTATTGTTGCGATGGGCAACGCGCATAATTATGCCCTCTGCTGTTGCTGTGCAGTACGCCAGTTGGCGTGGATTACATTTCGAGAGTGGCCAACGCAAACGTAGGCCTAAATTATGTTTAAATTTCAGAATTGAGTGTACAGTACACAGTGTATTTTGTATTACTTACATGCTTGAATTATGAACGCTTGTGGTAAATATTTGTAGAATAAAATTATTGTCAATTGGCATGATTGGGCCTAGGCCTATGCATGCCTATGGGTCACTCATGGCTCAGTGAAGGATCTGACATTTAAAGTGCGCTAGACACCAACATGTAATAAATGAATTTGTATGTGTCCTGCTTGACTTAACACTGCATAAGAATAATTTGGGCTTTTGTTAATATTGTCAATGCTATTGCATTTTGATACATGTAATAGGCCTGTTGTAAGTAATATTTTGGTATTTTTGCTAAAAAACCCCATCTTTTTGAAGTTAAAGTTGTCAAATTACAGTGTACGGCAGTATTGATGTCACATCAATTTGGTTCTTGCATGAAATGTTATAGGAAATAAGAAATCAAGGAATGAAATTGACTATTGCCAACCAAGTGCTTTCATCAACTTTCAACTCTCATTTTGTGTGTCATCACTTTTACCAGTCAGTGATACTATCACAACATGAGCACCACTCCCTCGGAAGACACATCACGCCATGGAAAGAAGAAACGGAAGAAGAAGAGGGGATCCAGCATGAATCGGGTTCATCCCGAGGGATCCAGCGGAGATTTAAGCCCTAGGCAGAATGGCTACATTGACAGACAAGAGATGGCTGGAAGGAATGACATGGGAAATAACAATAATAACAGTGTAAGTAGTAACATGGATGAATATTGTCCCTGGCCTTGACGATCCTTTCATCGTGGGACTAACGCAGAGTTTTGAAAATGGTTTTGCTGTGTTATAGCTCAAGAAAAGGAAAACAAACTCTAGAAATCTTACCTTCCTGTGCTCTGAAAATTCCTTGCTTATAATTGTTATATTTTTGCCGTCTTGGTTTAATATTTTACAGGCAGAAATATCAACGGCAGCTGATGCTTTCAACATCTTAAACAATGTCCAGAAAGGTGCTGAACGCTTCAAAGGGCTGAGCTGTCGTAGGAGGATGATTAGAGGAGAGCAGAGTAAGACATACCCCCTTCTGTCCCCACCCCTTGATTAGAATGTCTTTGTTAATGACGACAGCCTCGTATTCAAGGGGATTTGATAGTTGTCTTTCAGTTGCCGCATCCAGTATGCATGAAAGAGTCCACCCATGATTGCTGTTCATTGAGGGCTTATTTGTTAAGGGAGCGGTTACGTGCTTTCCTCAAGAAGAAGAAGTTAAGTCTGTTAAGACAGAATTTGTTCTACATTTTGTTGAATGGCCGAAAGCTTTCTCATGTATCTTTGAATACCTAAATCTCCACCTTGATGTTGTTGAAATATCCGATCATAAAATGTCATCAGCTTCATGCAGCTTGATCAATTATTCATCGATACCATTCTCCATCTTCTCATTGTTTGTCATTGTGACCCTTTTACCACATGTTTTCTCTCATGGACTGTTGCTCAATCAATGCTGATAATTATTTGAACATGTAAGTATTTTTCCAATCCAGTTAAAACTGACACAAATAATTTTGGTGCTGATATTTTGGTAGGACCTGTTGCAGATAACATCAGACTCACAGTAACATGTTCACAGCAACTCTGTTTTCTTCACAAATGGTTAATAAATTTCACCTGATGTAACAGAAGTCATGCACAGCTAATTTATGGTGGTGGTGTTCTGAGAACAAGGTTGAGGTAAAGATTCCCCTTACATCATGATGAGTTGACCAATGGATTCAAAGCTGAATCATAAAATATTTATCAGATTAACTGGAATTTCCTCTTATCAGTGTTCTTGACTTTCTCTAACCATCACCTGTTTGATTTCCACTTAATATCACCTTTCATTTTGGAATTGTCACCTGTAACACAGAGCTTAAGGGTAAGTATCAGAGTAGACCGTGGAGTTAGTGAAGATCCTGTAATCAACTTCCCTGGGTTAGGTTTTGCATTATTTTGCGCTTCTTGGAATAAAGAAACTGCTTGTGGTCTTAACTTGCCTTCAAGTCTTGCTCTCTTTTTAATCTTAATCCCAAGTTCTTTTGGCTCCAAAGAAAGATATCTTGTAGAGTGTCACATCTTTTATTTGCAATGTTTTGCTGCGCTTTCCCCAACTTTCTATTCTTGGTAAAGGAAATCACAAGCGGCAATTTAAAACTGTTTAATAGTGAGCCAGTTCAGTATTCCAACAGAGCGTGCCCAGAATGAAGTGTGTCTGAGGTCATTTGTTGGTGTGAGCAAGGTTAACTCCATCAGTGCGACCCTATGCTGGCTCCTTTCTATGCTTTGTTTCCCAATGACCTTGCTTTTTTGAAATACTGAACTGGCTCATTAAGTCAAACTTAGGGTAAAGTTAGGGTTAACGTTTCCGTATTACTCAGTTCCATACCTTAGTACTCTGTGTTTATTTTGGGCTGGTTGCTTAAAACAGTCGGGAATTCTTTTCAATGTCTGCTCTCAGAGATAATTGTACCCGTACCTGTACTTTTGTAGACCTTTGCGTCACTTTTCAATGTTCCTTTTTCTTTAGCTTAGTTAATTTTTTACACCCACAAATCTGCAAGCTGCTTCCACTGAATCAAAGTAAAGTTTCGAGTTTCGAGTGAAATGAAACTAACAGTTTTGGCCCTAGTTGCTGGATCTGAAGAAATGATGTACAACTCTGACAATTTCAAAAGTTTAGTTGAGGAGAATGTGACTTCAAATCTTATTAATGAAGATTCATGCTCCCTGGCTGCCTGATTCTTCAGGTTGTGGTTGAGGTAACCCTTACTTTCACCTCTATTACCTCTTGGAATATTAATTCTCTTAATGCTTAACACTTCAACAATGTTTCCCTTAAAAACAAAATCGTGTAAATTTATTTGGTTTTGGGCAGTGCTGTTATTTTGGAAATTTTTTTTTATTTTTTGGTAATGTTCAGAAAAATAGGCAAAGATACTACCTGTTCTAGAAAATTCTACACTTCAACACTTGACTGTTAAACTTTCATTCTATCCAATGTATTAGATTGATCATGGTTAATAGAAGTACACCCCAAACTCAAGCCATATAGAAGTACACCCCAAACTCAAGCCATATAGAAATACACCCCTAACTCAAGCCATATAGAAATACACCCCTAACTCAAGCCATAAAGAAGTACACCCCAAACTCAAGCCATGGAATTCTGACCTTTGAAATCTGGAAGGGAAAGATAATGAAAATTGTACTCTGAAATGTGCAGAGACAATAACCAACAGTTTGGCTGATCAAATCTCTTTTCACCTGTATTTTCCCATTGACAGAATTGGGCTTTTGCAACAAAGGTAAGGGGATTGATGACAGCATTGTAGCAGAGCCCCTGAAACGTAACCGCTTCAACGAAGCCCTCATCTCCTACTTTGCCCAACTGGCACGGTCAGAAATTGAAGATGAGGTCGTTGACCTTGAACATGTGGAATATCTGCTAGAGAATGGAGCTGATATCCGCTGTACGGACAAGCATGGACAGACGGTGTTACATGAGGTAACATTTGAATTCAGTTTGATGAAAATTGACGTTGTTTTGCTAAATTCTGTGGTGGCAAAGTGAAACACTGGAGTACTTTGAGATTCCTTAGGTATCATTTTTCTCTTGGGAGTACACGGTTCTGCTCAGTTCCACCTGCCTTCTGAGATATATTCCGCTAAATGCAGTTAAGTTTGGAAAAATTGGTTTTGCATGCCGTTCCTGGGCTTGCCTTTGGTTTCTGATTTATTTTAGCATTCTGAAGATCAGACATGCCTTCCAAACTTTTCTTGGCAAACTTTTAAGATAATGTGGTTTTCAATTGTGAAAGGTACTTCAGCTAAGTACTACTTTGGGGTGCAGGCACAAACTTGTTTCAGGGAACGGTGGGTCTTATGTCCCTGGGCGAGATATTTGACTGAGAGTGTTTTTGCCTTCCCCAGAGCATTTGGGTCTCATTGAAGGCAGCATCGGTTCAGGGTGTTATTTTATTAGTTTGCACACCCTTTGTGCAAGATGAACTTACTTCCATATCTTTGTAGAAAGTTCAGATTACTGGTACTGCATATATTTGGTTCTTAGGCTGTTCGTGCTTGGGAGACGGATGTAGCATCATTCTTACTGGAGAAGGGGGCAGATCCAAATCAGAAGGACCGTTATGGAAGAGCTCCCCTCCACATTGCTGCCGCTGTCAACTACCCAGAGATGATCATGCTCCTTTTGGACAATGATGGTAGGATTTGCTTGTAAAATTAGGGACTGAGTCCCATTTAAAATGCTGACTTACCAATCAGGCAAAGCCAATTTCTTCACGGCAATGAAAAGTGAAGATTTGCTTTTCAGATTTCAATTAATTAACACCCAGCAGTCGACCAACCTCAGCTATCAGTGAATGACTTTTATATGTTCAGTCTTGCTCTTTTTCTGTCACAGCCGATATTGAAATACTAACAGCTGACGAGAACCACACACCTCTTCATTTTGCTGCTCGGAATGACGCGTGCGCAGCACTAAAGGCACTCCGCCGAATGGGGGCCAATCTACATCCACGAGACTACAAAGGGAGAACACCTCTGCAGGTTGCAGCTGAGCTTGGTAAGAACGTCCTGACATTCTGATAAAACAATCTCCTCACATTGCACTAGAATATCTGTGAGTTGTATGAGTATCTTGTCATTGCTGGCTTAGTTTGGGCAGAAAGCCAGAAATTCAATACGAAAGCTTTGCTGAAGTTTTGAGGTCTGATGTTACTCTCAGATCGTAGTGAAACGGCTAAACTTCTCCTTGAGATGGGTGCGGATGCCTCTGATATTGACAACGCTGGACAGACAGCCCTAGTGCAGCTTATTTGCAAGATGCCAGCAGTAGTAAGTCACATGCTCATCACATGGTTATCATATGATTGGCACATGATCGGAACATGGTTGTCACATGGCAATGACATAATCTTCCAAATTGCTGTAATTACTTTTATATCACACAAACATGTTAACATTCTGTAAAATTCCTTTTATGGAGGACAGAAATGTCATCCATTTTTGTGAAAAAAATTTATAAACTAAACTTTTACCTTAAAATTTGAGAATGTAAGATTCAAGATGATGAGATTTTATTTTCTTTTTTCCATTTAGGCTAAGGAGGCCCTTGATCAGTTCCATCGATGTGATCGTGCAAACCGCAAACAGTACTATGATATTCACTTTGTTGAGCCCACCAAACCAGATGATAAAGCACCCAAGTCTCGATCTGCAGTAAGCATGACAAGATTTGATTAATAATCCAGACTGACACTAGTCTGATTGGAGGGAGGATACTTGTGTTTTGTCTTGGTATGAAGGGTTCGAATCCCGCCCAGGCTGTGTGTATTTCTCTAAAGTAACCCTTTGATTTGAGAAAACAAAGATGGTTTGAAATTCAATTCTTTGATCACATTTGTCAGTCTGTTAAGAGCAGTTATGGATTCACCATTGCTAAATGAACTTACAGCTCAGTGTATGTAAATTACTTGACCTTTGACACAGCTGCAGGTCATAGTTCAGTTTCACCAGCTGGAGCTGATCCTCCATCCAGTTATTTTGTGTAGATGTAAATTACTTGACCTTTGACCCTTTGACACAGCTGCAGGTCATAGTTCAGTTTCACCAGCTGGAGCTGATCCTCCATCCGGTTGTACAGAGGCTGATGGAGATCAAATGGAAGAAATTTGGCTGGTGAGTCATTACAAGAATCCGTCCTTTTACTGAGATCAAAAAAACGTGTTCTGTATTCTAATCTTGGCAGACGCTTGGCACATTTATGTCTGACGTTTTTGTCAACACAGGTGGGGAGCTATCTTACAAGTCCTGGTCAACTTGGCTTTCATCTTACTGTGGTCAGTCATTGCTGTTACCTTGCGACCAAGTGAGAGGATGACACTCCCTAATGACATTTGGAGAATAGCGATCTGGGTAGGTACATGGATTCCGATTCTTCTATAGGAGAGTTTATTGGAGCCCATGCTACTCTCTGCCTTGTATAACCAGGACAGACGATGCCAATATGGCGATTCACAATAGAGCGCCTCCAAGAGTTTGCAACGCATTGGCCTATCACAATGCGCAAAATCTGTTGACCTTTTCCAAACGCGCATTGGGTCGACAGATTTTGAGCATCATGATTAGCCAATGCGTTGCAAACTCTTGGAGGCGTACTTCTGTGAATCGCCCGTGTTATATTGAACGACAAGAAAGCTCTGCAGCAGTTGCAAGAAGTCTGTGATGCTGCCACAACAACAGCATCAGTCATAAATTGAAACATCACCATAGCAACAGGAACAAAAGTAACTTGAACATCATCAGCAGCAGTAACATCACTGTCGTTGCAATAACCTTAATTGACCCTGATAACGCTGTTGTACACTGTTTCTTTTTTGGGGGGGGACAGGCATTGGCGCTTTTGATTACCTGCTACATGATTGGCCAAGAACTTCAAGAAGTCTACGTATCAAAGAAGAAATTCAAAGTAAGATAAAAATATACATATGGTTTGTCTATTCTTCCCCTCAATTTAAATAGTGATATCATTTCCTTGATACCTCTGTAGAGAAGTTCACAGTGTCAGTGTTAGTGTGGCAGTTCTAGTTTGTTAATGCCAGGGTGTTCGATTAAGATTTCAGGGTGTGAGATTAAGATGTCAGGGTGTTGGATTAAGTGCTTACAGTTAGCTTGTTCCACCCCTAGAGATGGAAGAAATGGCGTATCGGTGAGATTGAGAAGGATCTCAGGTATTGTCACCCACAGTGGCCTCAAGAACAGCAGTACCTTCGTCAGGAGATTGAAGAGATCAATGATCAAGGAGCTGCCTACTTCAGTGAATTCTGGTAGGTTGTTGGTCCAATGCCAACCCATCTCCCATAATGTTTACCTTCTCCCAACTAGAACCACCCCTGAAGGCCTAACCGGCAGATCCCTGTCAAAAGTATAAAGAGATCAGTGATCAGTGAGCTGCAAGAGTGAATTCTGATTGGTTGCTGGTTCAACGCCAACCTTGCTCTTCCCATAATCCTTACTGCAACCCTTACCTTGACCCTCCAACTACAATCAACTTTAAAAGTCCCAGAGAGGAGGACCTCCAGCCAATGACTCAACAAATCAAAGATTCATCAAAAGTTCTGGGGGGTTGCTGGTTCAGCTCCAACCCAGCGTCTGGACTTCCACTTTCAAACTAAATCCCCTACCCCAGGATGAGCCTTCAATGCAACTCTGTAACTTGGACCTAGATCCTTTTCAACTTCATTGGTACCTTGGACTTAAATTATCTGCCAGGCCCATGATCACGGCAACAGCTCCAAGAGTTTAAAGGAATTTATGATCAAGAGAGAGAGGCTCACATATTCCCAACTTCAAAGCAGTCTAAGACACTTATGTCAGTATTTTCATACTTTCATATTAGATTTTTAAAAATGTTTCATGACCTCAAAATCGTAGGCCAGTCATTGGATTGAGAAAATTGCAAGGTGGATGGCTATTGGGTGGGTTGGATGCAATGAGGGAGTGTGCAGACTCATTTGTGCCATCTGATTGGTCCATTTTGTTTCCTTCCCATAGGAACTACTTTGATTGGATCGTTTACTTCCTACTTCTTGTCATTACTGGTTTATACATAGCCAGTCACATCATCACTAGTGATGAACATCACATAAGTCTCATTGCTTTCATGCGTCGCTTCATGGCTGTGTCCATTATTCCAATCTGGTTACGCTTTATGAAGTCAGCCAGGGCATTCAAACAAATTGGTAAGATTTCTTTTGTAGAAGTGTGTTTTTTTCATTGACCCTTGAAAATGCTTCCTCTCAGTTCACAAGGTGCTGGCACTGATAGTAATGTTTTGAATTTTTAAAGTTTGACCTAAGGTACTTATATTTTGCACTGGTAACGTTTCCCTTATCAATAAATGGTGCAGAATTGTGTGGGAGACAGGTCTAATTACTTCCAGCTAGGTGCGCCCCACGTTATGACTTTGAACTCAGTCCGCAGTATCTCCTTATCACTGACAGATTTTTAATGTACCATAGGCAGGTTCAAATCCCGCCCCAATCAATTTCTTTGTTCATCTTTATAATTATTTGTAAGCGCCTAATCAGTTTCCCTACATGGTTTGTGTCATGATTTTAATGTGTTTTTTTTTTCAAGGACCATTTATTGTAATGTTGGGACACATCATCAGCGACATCCTCAAGTTTGGCTTTCTGTATTTAGAGTTTTTCATACCATACGGTGAGTACACACACCAGTCACCCATCTACCTGTTTGTCACGTACCATTCTGAACAGTAACAACCATTGGTGGTTGGTAAGGATTGTGAATTCATGCCGAGTTATCAATCTTGGCTCTCCACAGCCTTTGCCTTCTGGATGATATTTGGAGGCAGATCAGAGTTGCCTTCCATGCGGACAGTTGATAGTTTACTCTTCACTCTCTTTAGACTGACCTTGGTAGATGACTATGATTATGATGTAAGTATGAGAAGAACAGAAGGTGGATTGGTAAGAAGTTGGACTTTTGGACACTGATTCAAATAGTCCAAAGTAGTGTCCAGTTTGTGCAGTTTTTCTTTAAAGCATTTATGTTGGTTCAAAGTTTGCTAATTTCTTGTCCTAAACCATGATGTGCCGATTAACCAGGTGAAACAATTCATTACTCTCCTAAGGCCTTACATAGCTGATAAATTGTTTACTTGAATGGAATTGTTTTTAATTCCCAGAAGTAAATGGGTCTGTTTTTATTTCAGAAAATGCACGAGATTGACGCCGTCATGGCTTACATTCTTGTGGCTACATTCCTGTTTCTGTCTGCCTTGCTCTGCGTAAATCTCTTCATCGCTTTGCTGTCAGACACTTTCCAAAGGTTGGTGGAGATTTGAAACACCAAGATACCTGTTTAAAGCAGATAGGGGTTGCCAAGGTAGCATGTTCCCACTCACAGGCTGCAGATATCTTCTTACAAGCCTCCTTGATCTTCTTGACTCATTTTCCCAACCCCAGAGTGTACGACAACGCCAAGTCCAACGCCAACATGCAGCAAGCCTCCATCATCCTGGGCATCGAGGAAAGTCTCTCTCAGAAGAAGCTACGAAAGTATCGGCGTTTCATCCACGAACAAGCATGTCCAGAGAACTTGTATTACGATGATGACCAGACAGTGAGTGGAGATGCTGACCTCAAGAAAGTCACCTTCCAGATCAAGGTAGGCAACTGGAACTTGATGCTTCATACAACATTTGGATGTGAGAACTTTTGCTTTCTCCTTATATGATGATCCTTTGAGTAAGATTTTAAACTCAAATTAAGCTCAGGCATGCAATAGATGCAGATTTGCTTAGATGAACATGCTTTCCATGTTTTTCTTCAAGCATTGCTTTGATACCTTAAAAGCTGATTGCCTACTGTTACCTATTGACCTATCATCTGTCCCTGCATGAAAACTCCATCTGCAGAATTAATCTTAGCATTGGGCATCTGATCTTTACCTTTCTTGATCCCACCTCAACTGTCAAGAGCCGACGGTGTTAAAAACTTTAGCACAGCTCACAGCAAAAATTCAACAGTGAAGACGTTCATTATGATCGCCTGAGTGGTTCTATTATCTGCCCTCAGTGTTGGTCATTGTAATTTCGAAGCAGTTTTGATCATCTCATTTTTATTATTGTTGACAGTTGACAATGGTTTGTTGTTTAAAATTGCATTTTATTTTTCACTTGGTGGCTTGCGGAAGCATTTTAACAAACTTTTCCATTGGTTTTGGCTTTGATGTCTATCTTAAACAGTCTCAAATGAATAGTTCATTAAAGTTTAGTCAGCCAGACATTCATCAAGGAGAGTGGTTTCCAATTATCATTCGCACACTTTCAGAATGATGCTATAGTTTAAACTTTAATTGCAGTCCTCAGAATGTTTTCCTTTCAAAGGTGGCCTGGCTTGCACGCTGATTAATGTGTTCAAAACTGCAAAGACATAAAGGAGCATTATATGCATTCTTGTATTTGATCTATCTGTTAGGTTAAAGAGATGAACAGGTGACAGGTGGAAATGCATTACCCACTCTTAGTGTATGTAGTATACGCATCCACTTGGACCTCCAATAAACATGAAAGGAAACATTCTCCATATCCTTGCTGTGCTGCTTTGCTTTAACCTTCCCCTTTTTTGGTAACTGGGCATGCACTTTAACCTTTGACCTCTGTTCACAAGGATGAGCTGGAAGAGATGAGAGAGAGCCTCTTTAGCCATCTGAATATCAGAGGATACCGGAGAAAGAAGAGGGTAACGGCTCGCTAATGCTTGATACTAAACATGCACTGATTATGTGGAGCTTTTAGGGCTAGGACACTCAGCTGCCGTGTTAGAAACAGGTCACATGACCAGCAGGTGTTGTAGGGCCTGTTTGTTTCATGCGGATCCGGATCGCGATCAGTGATCCGTCATTGGTTCACTGACACCAAAGCCCACCTAATAGATGAATTGATCCAGCGACGTGATCACCGAGATCCAGATCCCTACAAGTCCATCACTAGTCCCTACAAGTCCATCACTAGTCCCTACAAGTCCATCACTAGTCCCTACAAGTCCATCACTAGTCCCTACAAGTCCATCACTAGTCCCTACAAGTCCATCACTAGTCCCTACAAGTCCATCACTAGTCCCTACAAGTCCATTACCTGTCATCCAAGTTTAGCCAAGTCATTAACTGTTCAAATGAACTGTGACAAAAGTATTCTTTGTCATTGCTCATCATCTTGTGAAAGGACTTGTTTAGGACTCAGCTTCAGTACCGATGACCAGTTCCTCCCCAGATGCTAATGTCTGGTAAAAAATCATATCTTTGGATCAGTTGATCAAAGGTCATAGTTGTGTAGTTTCTCATGGAACTGCAAGTTTTCAAAGACATGCTTGTCCAAGGCGTTGATGCTTATTCTTTTGCTTTAAGCATTATCTTGTTTGTGTCGTTTGTCAAGTTTGGCAGAATTGTATGCTAACCCTTAACAGGTCTGCAGACTCTCACTTTATGCATCTTTCTACTTACTCAAATAAAATGATCAGTGAAATGCATGTATAACATTAATCTGCACTGATTTGTTATCTTGCACAAAATTGCCTTTGCACAAAATATGCACTTTGCACTTGCTTGATTGCAAACCTTGATAATTCCAGCACCCAAACATTCCTCAGCATTCCATTTTGATATCAAATATTCTTTTGCTCAATCTCAGCAGGAAAATATTCCCATGTACATTGCACATCACCAGGCACCTTGACACCACAAAATGTCTGGAGCTATTAGAATTAGATTTCGTATTCCATGTTGTTTAATGTCCTGTTTCTGCTTCTCCCACCTTATCCCACCTCTGCAACCGACTAGGATTCTCTAGAGGAGCTCCGTGAGCAGCTTACTACTCAACCAAAGGATGATCAAAGCAGCCAGGCCAAGGCTCTTGTCACCAAGTCCATTGAGGATCAACTGACGCAGTTTCGGATTAAGCAGGAACGATCCAATCGCCATGTCCAGAAGCAGCTGAAGACCATTAATGAGGTGCTACAGGCACTGTTGGTAGCTCACACAGGTGGTAAGGAACCGTACAGAGAGTTGTGAGTGACTGAAATACTGTTTATGGTTTATCAAGTGTGAGGAAAGTTGAAGTCTTGACTCAAGACTACTCAAGCCTTGACCTTGTTGCATCCGAGAGTTAGATGAATAGGTTAGAGCTTCCGTTTTGAATTGAAATGTTTCTCTTTTGCGTCGTTTCCAGGAGGTCCAGGAAGCACACCTGTCCAGCCTGGAGGGGGTGTCAGCAGTTTCCATAACATCAGCCGACCAGGTGTACTTGTGACCCTTCCTAGCATACCTCACAACACGGGGGAGATCAGAGGGGGCGGAGACTTTGAAGAAGATGATTATGAGGCGGGGAGGAGGCCTCGATTTGTTGGAAGACATGTACCTCTACAGAGTACTCCTGCATTGGGCTCTAGAGCCAGAGATCAAAGGTAGGTTAGTTGGCTGTTAATGCTTGAAATGGGAATGGTGGAACAGTAAAGTTGGCCTCATCTCTATTTACAAGGCCATTTGGTGTCATTCTCCAGTCAGCCATTTTGAATTGTAAGCAAGGCGATCTCTGTGCACATTTTCCAAAAACTCACTGTACGGGAATGACGATGAGGCAGTAAAAGGGCAAACCATAGAGTCCACCCTTGTGCTCCGATCGGTGGTTCCAAATTTTGATTAAAAAAAGTCAAGTCACGTTATATTTCAAATGAGACAAAAGCAAGGCTATATGTGTATTTGAAGTAAAATAGTCGGCTTCTTCCCATTTCAGAGTGTTTTATAATTGGATCTGGGGATCACAGTTCAAAATGGCCGTCTTGTGAATAAAACCTTTAAGAGTTACAGCTGTAGTGTTTAGACAGTTTATTTTTACTTGTTTAGGGAGGATAATCTTGCTACACAGCGGACATTCCTAGAGTCATTTAGACCCCAGGCTGTGACTCCAAGTAATGCCACTGAGACAGATGGAGTTTACAAGGATAGGTAGGAGACATTGAAATCATTTGTAAGGTGTTGTTACAGAGCAAACAAGAAAGTCCTGCCATCATTTTCATGCTTAAAGTTTTCCATTTAAAATTTGATATTTGCACAAGATTTTTTTGCAAAGGTTGGTTCAGTGTGCTTGGTAAAACTAAATATTTCTCTTTCCATTTCCTCATCGCAGAAATTGACAAAAAATTAAAAAATCAAGTGTGACCAAATCAAGAGGAAATATGTGAACATTAGAGCTTTAAAGTTAAATTGAATCCTGCAGGATACCTGACCCCACTTCTGCCACCATTTCTGTTCTTACTTGCATTCCTCTTCAAGGCTGAAGCTCTTCCGCGAAGAGCAGAAGATTAAGTTGAAGAAGCGCAAGCAACAAGAGGACTACCTACAGCAACAACAGAGAGAGGCACAGGTCACTCTACCCGTGTCAGAGGTCAGCAGAGGTCAGGAAGGTCATGAACTCTCAGAACTGAGTCGGCAGATAACCAGGGAGAGTGAGGACTTAGACTTGGTCAAGTTTAGTCCTGCAGATAAGGTTTGTAGCTCAGATATCGTAACCAAACTTCATTGTCTGTTAAGTTTGCTGAATAATTACAGAAAGATTACACTTGTTGTCATTGATGGTACATTACACAATTAGACTCAACAACATCTTACATCCATGTAGCAGGAAAAATCATACCTAACAGTAGCGTATCCAGGCCTAAAAGGGGCAGAATGAAATTTTTGTCAAAAGTCAATCCAGTTTTTTCACCCGTATAAGAATCCTCCATCTCCCAAGATCAGGTGGTAGTACCTATTTTAAAACGAAGGAGATTTCAATACAGGCGATTCACAAGAGTGCACCTCCAAGAGTTTGCAACGCGTTAGCCAACCACAACGTGCCAAATTTGTTGACCTTTTCCAAACATGCATTGGGTTGACAAATTTTGCACATTGTGAGTTGCCAACGCGTAGCAAACTCTTGGAGGCGCACTATTGTGAAGCGCCCGTATTCTTTTTAAAAAAACAAAACAAATGGCAACGTGTCTTTTGGGGAATGGCTTGGACACACCAGCGGAACATAACATGCAGTAAACTAGGATATCATTGATACTGCATCGGTAGCTTTGCATTAACACGTAAACTGTTACTTCTATTCCTTTAGGATGTTGAGAAGCAAGAGGTTTCAGACAGAGGAAGCACTGATGCGTGAAGATGTCATCCTGTAAGCTACAGTCCTTGCCAAATTTGATGTTGTTGAGCTGAATTATGTCCATGGCTTGACCATTGCAGTATATGGGGACCATTTGGCATGGACGTTCACCTGCTTACAGTCATTCCATCAACATCTTGGTGATTCCTACGGCACAGATCTTTAAACATGACACATCAGGCATAGTGAAGCATGATGTTTTCAGTATTTTACAGATAAAAAGTTGTTTTATTTTCTGAGAATATCATTTACATTTGTAAAAATTGTCCAATTTTGAAATAGTTGTGTCGTGCATTCTGCAATAGATGGAAGTAGAACATTTAATAAACTGTTCGTAGAAATTGCAGCTTGCTATAGTGGTCCAGAAATTGTGTGTCTGTATTGAAGAGTTGTGTTTTAATTTATGCAGGCTAGGACCAAATGCTGATAAATTTTCTAAGTATAAATCTTAGCTTTATATATAAGAAACGAACACCGGTAGTTGGGGGACCCAAGTGGCTCAACAGGTTAGCTTGCTGCCTGGTAGAACCACCCTGGTGGGACGAGAACCCTCCTGAAGCAGGTTCAATCCCCAGCAGGCTAACAAGCTAGCTAAACAAGCTAGCGTGAAAAAGAGTTTTGCTTTTTATTTTATTTTAATTTAAGGCTGAGTAAAAGAAAAAGCCCCTGCTTCACTCGGATTTGAACCCAGGACCTCTCAGTCCAGAGTTCAGAGTCCTAACCACTGGACCACTTGATTTTCTTAGTAACATATGCTCGGACCATATATTTATCTTACAGATTGAAAGGTATGGATCTTAAAAATGTTATGAAAAAGGAAAGTGTTGGGATTTGAACCCAGGACCTTTCAGTTTAGAGTTCATAGTCCTAACCACTGGACCACTTGATTTTCTTAGGAATATGTGCTCAGACCATATACTTATCTTACAAATTGAAAGGTATGGATCTTAAAAAATTTATGAAAAAGGAACTTGTTGGGATTTGAACCCAGGACCTCTCAGTCCAGAGTTCATAGCCCTAACCACTGGACCACTTGATTTTCTTAGTAACATATGCTCGGACCATATACTTATCATACAGATTGAAAGGTATGGATCTATAAAATTTTAAGAAAAAAGGAACATGTTGGGATTTGAACCAAGGACCTCTCAGTCCAGAGTTCATAGCCCTAACCACTGGACCACTTGATTTTCTTAGTAACATATGCTCGGACCATATACTTATCTTACAGATTGAAAGGTATGGATCTATAAAATTTTAAGAAAAAGGAACATGTTGGGATTTGAACCAAGGACCTCTCAGTCCAGAGTTCATAGCCCTAACCACTGGACCACTTGATTTTCTTACTTGCTCACGCTCGGGCCATATACTTATCCAACATACTACACATGAATCTTAAGAAGTCAAGAAAAAAGAAGTTGTCAGGATTTGAACCCAGGACCTCTCAGTCAAGAGTTCAGAGTCGTTACCACTGGACCAGTTGATTTTCTAACTGATTTATGCTCCGACCATGTACTTATCCTACAGATAAAGATTGAAAGGTATGGATCTTAAAAATGCCAAAAGAAGGAACTTGTCAGGATGTGAACCCAGGACCTCTTGGTCCAGAGTTCAGAGTCCTAACCACTGGTCCACTTGAATTTCTTACTGATTTGTATTCAGACCTTTTACTTATCCAACAGATTGAAAACAGATCTTTAAAAAGTCAAGAAGGAACTTGTTGCGCATTTGAACCCAGGACCTCTCATTCCAGCATTCACAGTCCTAACCACTGTACCATTTGGTCAGAATGTGTTTGGACTTTATACTTAAGTAACAGGCCACTCACTTTGAATTGTCCATTATCTGTCAGATTTTATTTGCTTTGCATGCTTGCAATGTGACTGAGATGGTATTTCACTGAAATCTTTCCAATCTTTTCAAATATATTTTATTATAATTCAAACTATCTGTACATATTGGTATTAAGTTTTGTATTTGTGTTAACTAATATGTTGTGTACTAGTTGAGATTTGTCCAAAAATTAGTAGAGAATCCAAGTTACATTAATTCATTAACCTCCTCTCCCCTGGAAAAAGAAAGTGGAAGATGCAGTAACATTGGTTGAACAACCTTTCTCTAAAACGAATGAGGGAAAGGAGACAGTCCTAACTCTTGTAAACTTCAGCCAGTTCAACATAATGAATCCTCAAACTCAACATTCTCAGATCTGGTTTCCTGCTGTCAAAGATTTTATTTTCAACCACTTCTTGGTGTTTTGTAAGAAACATACTTGCATTTTATAGAATTTCATTTTATTTTCTGAAACTCAAAGTCGCACAAATTTGGCATAATTTTGAGACCTTCACAAAGTCATGTTTTTTTTGGCCAAGAAACAAACAAATAAACCAAACAATTCGGATTTACAAAAGTTGGGTGCTTTGCGTAAAAAACTATTTTCTGACAGAGTTGTTCAACCTAAACAACTTGTTTTTCTTTCATTTTTTTTTTCTGAGAGACATCAACAAACTCCTTGAGTAGGCAACTGTTTTGACTTGGCAGTATATTACATGTATTAGGAATGCCACATTTCAACATTTGTGTAGAAAAAAAGAGCACAATGTTGTTCAAAACTTGCTGTAAAAACAACTAATTCAGGCTTAGCCAGAAAATACGAAAAAAAACAACGCTTGAGCAAATGCATCTGGGGCAGATTGTGCCCAAACGAGGCTAGCGTTTCTCAAACATGAGAGGGCGCTGTCATGATACCACTGCAGGAAGGGTAACCTGGTGATGCATGTTGCCAAATTTTCAAGACAATGAACAGTTTTACAAACCTCATATTCAATGCTACTTAATAAGTGAAAGAACTCAATTACCCTGAAATGGTATCCTAACATCTTTACATTTGGCCAACACCATCTATGCAAGTTGTAATAACATTTACTTTGTGAAAAACGAAAGCCTGCGTTAGTGTAAAATGTTGAACCAGTCTGGTCTGGCTTAATCTGAATGTGATGCAGTAAACCCTACAGACTCTCCATATTTTAGTTACATCATAAATACAAACATGCTTTTTTCGATGGAAGTGTACGCTTTCATGCTTAATGTTTTGTCAAAGTGAATAATGTGGAAGGACTTTCTTAGCCTCGCATAATTACCACTTGTTCCATTTTAAATAAAGGGTTTTGTGACATTTCTCACATTGGGTTTGGCAGGTTAGATACTCCTCATAAAAAGTGGCTGTAAATTTCCTTCCCAAATCCTAAACTGTTCATGCAAGATACTCTTGAAGAAGCTTGAAGTATTTGCTTATACAACCTGTAACACACTGTGGCTCCATGGCTGGGTCCAAGGCTAGCTAGGAAACAACTCTGGAATAGTCTTCACCTCAAGGAGGAGCTCCAGATGATGACGATGCCATGAGGATGATGTCACTGTCATTGGTCAATGTCATCATCCTAAGGCGACACCAGCAGCGTTCAGGTAGATCTGCAGACAGTTGGCTACCTTCTCATCGAGGCCTGTCTTGATGAGTTCTATCAGCTACACGAAGGAAAAAGAGAGAAAGGACTCAAGACAAGAATTTTATGAATTACCCGAATTATAGATTCTGAAACACTTCCTCGGTTATTCACTCTTCCCCGAAATGTACACGAATAAGCCTAGATGTCATCAATATCCTGACAAAATCAACTCTTTCCTTTTGTTTCTGAATGAAGCATTTTATCATATTCTGATAATTTCAGATGTTAAAAGTGAACCAAGTTTTCCTAAGTAAGACTATTTCCAAAGTATGATGAAAATTTACAAATCCATTTGAAAATCTGAAAACAAATTTCTCAAGAGCCTTAAACAGGGTCATTAAATTAGGTACCCCTCCCTAAAGTTACTTCCCCTGAATTTTTTGCATCCAAATTTTTTATCTCAATGAGGCAAGTAAAAGGTACTGGATAGGCGTCTTACCTCTGGATGTGCAGTGCAAACATTTTTCAACCTTTGAGCTAGGTAAATCTTGGCGTCTGGTACCGCTCCCTTGAATGGATCCGTCTCGTGCTTCCCAGCAAAGGCTAGCTGAGAGTAGGCAGTCTGGTACCCTGGGGTATCCTCAATCTCAATGAAGTGCTCGTCATCCGGAAGACTGTCATCTTCCGGTAATTCAAAGAGGTGGACCAAAGCTTGAAGAAGGGTGATCCTGAAGGGGAGGGGGGGGGAATACATCAAGGCAAAGCCATGCAAATGTTGCATATAAATTACAAGTACTGACGATGCTCAACGGATACCTTATGTCAGATTGGTTGAGTCTTACAAACACTCGTTAGCGACTTGAAGAACCAGAACATTTTATGTCGAAAAACTGAATCAGCTCTCTTTAGTGCGACTTTGTTTAGGTTCAACACAAGCCTCATTAAGCCATGCGGAAAACGAGTGGAATTTGAGTTAATCTTACTTTACCTAACGTCAACACAATTCCAGCAAGGCAATAATAAGTATCCACGTAAGGTATTGTAACAGCCATCCATTCAGCTAGCCAAGGAATCCAGTAACTGGTTGGTGTTACCAACCAGCCAACCATGTCAGCCAATCAGCCCAGTGAATCTACTCACCAATATGACCGTAGCGTAGGTTCCAACATAGCTGGACATTCCGTCAACATCTTTGTGATTCCTACGGCACAGATCTTTCTCTCCATCACACCAGACACTTTCTGCACCTCAGGAATGTACAACTTCTCCAGCACCCTCTCAAACATTCTAAGACAAACCAACAGACAAACAAATGAACCATTTTATTCACCAAGCTCAACAATCAACAATGCAAGACCAGTAGCCTCTAGAGCATTTCAAATCACCGAAAATGAACAAGTGATATTTAAAACAATTACATTATTTCCAGTGAAAAAAAATCTACATTTTGATACAAATTGATTGTCTTTATCAACAGTGAGAAACTTTGCATTTTGAGTAATCACTCCAACATTTGGAAACCTCAAAACTAGTTGAAATCACAGTCCAGGAGCACTGTTCGCCATTTTGATCTGGTTTTGCGATTAAGATTTTTCAACATGAACAGATACATGAAGATATGCATAATTACTTCAATGCTTCCGAATGACATTTTTTATTTTGCTGGCAGGGAAATCATTTCAAACACAGCAACTTACTTGGCTTGTATTTCTTCCACTACGTGGATAAGAGAATCGGCGCCATGCTTGACAGCGAAGAGACTAAAGAAGACAAGAAGGCCTAGATAGCAAAAGGAAGAAAGCAGGGCAGCCTCAGCCAACTAGATCTAAGACGTTAACAGTCTCACACAAAAGTCTCTAATGAGCATTTTACAATTTAACCTCATATTATGAAAACCGACAAACCAAAAGCAAACACAACAAAAACCAGCCAACTTGAACATCTATCAAATCTAGAATTTCCACGTCTTTTTTTAAGCAGCATGTCTTGAGTTTGTCAAACCCCACAACTTGATTTGATTGAAATGGTTATTTCTTCAATGCCTTCATGCCTGGGCTTACTTTTGACAAACTTGGTGGTCTTGGAGTGAGAAAGTCTCTGGAACAATAGAAGGAAGATTTTCTGGATGTGTTCTGACAACGCCGTCCTGTTTTCCAAAAAAAAAAAGGAAAAATGCTTTTTCTGGAAAAAGGGTTCAATTCAATAGAAATGCTTGACGCTCTGATGTCAGATGGCTGAGTAAAATTCACTAGAAATGCTTGACGCTCACTGAGGTAAGACGGCTGAGTAAACTTCACTAGAAATGCTTGATGCTCACTGATGTAAGACGGCTGAGTAAAATTCACTAGAAATGCTTGACGCTCTCTGATGTAAGATGGCCGAGTCCAAATATTGTACGGGAGTGGAACTCAGACCAGCACAATCAATTTCAACCTGCTTTATCTTTGTTAAACATCCTTATTTTGTAACCTGATATCTAACCTGATTATCTGCCAGTAATCCGATTATCTAACCTGGTTATCTACTAGTAACCTGGTTATTGCATCTTGTCCAGTCACACAAAATAACATCCAGAATTTAAAAGAGAAGAAGTGTATCAACATTACTGACTCAGCGGGGAAGGGGGGTGGCCTTGTGAATTGTGATTTTCAGCATTCTGAAGTTGAATTTCTTGGTTTTTTGGGGTGAGGGTGGATTAGGTTGACTCAGGATTGAGGTGTAACCTACGCATCCAAGTGTTCCAGTAGGCTCAGCATGATGTAGAATCCTTGATGATCATTGGCCTTGGAGGCAATCAACTTCTGGAACACGCCCAAGAGAGCAAGCTGCGAAAAACAAGATCACGATTTCATTTTGGTTATTTCTCAACGGCTTGCTGAAGATATCATGTAACTGGGTAATTCCAGACATTAGGGGTCCATTTTTTTCCGTGTCCCTGTCACATCTGACATATGATTATGTAACTTCAGAACACATTTTCGAATTTCCAAGAGTGATGAATGAATGCAAATTAAATGTACTTGCCAAACAAATAGTAATAGTTTGAAATCAATTATGGTAATATTTCCATGTCAAATAACAAAGGTCAGATGTAACAGAGACACCAAAAATGTCAGACTTTTGGACCCCTAATTTCTGGAATTACCCAATTGTATCCAGACTCTTCATAAAGGGGCTGTTCAAAGTCTACACACCACTGATATTGCTGCTATTAACGCTGCAACTTCTCTGATTTTGGCTGCAGCAACTGCTGCCGTTGATGAAGTTTTCTGAACTGCTGCTTTGAGTCTTCATGCTGATGCTGTTCATTCTGCCCTACTTACTGCTGCTCTGACTGCTCTCTGGTCTACTGCCAGGACTGTTGCTGTACCTAGCATGACTGCCAATGCCATTGCAGTGGTTGTTGTTGCAACTCTGCCGTCGCTGCTGCCTCTCAACCTGCTGCTGCCAGTACTAGTTATAGTTAGAGACAATCTGAAGAAACCGTCTTCAAGAACCCTCTCAGACTCACCACTTTGCCCTCTTTGACGATGGAGTCAGCACCCTTCTCGATGTAAGCTTGGATGAGACGGACCAAGGGTGGGATGTTACCAAGTTTCTCCCATAAGACGGGCATAAGAAGGTGAGGGAAGAGGGTCATGTATGCCTCGGGGCAGTCTGTATGCATCTCTAGCATCAAAGACATGATCTGAAACACGTAGGGGATAAACTCTACGCAGAAGGGGAAACAGAAAGATCAGAAAATGAGATTTGGAAACTGGCGTCTGGCAAAAGAAACAGCACGACTGTCTCTGGTTTAGTCAAACTGAGTGATAAGAGTTGAAACTGTGACCTGAAATGAGCTTACCTGCGATGTCTGCAGTGAGTATTTCTTGAAATGGTGGGAACAGACACATCTCAAAGATGGAGACATTGGATGCGTCGGCTTGGCAACCGCATCGAACTGAGAGACTGATGGCCTCAAACAGGTAGTGGTTGAAGTGAGGTTTGCTTGGATTCTGAGTAAGGTTAAGAGATGTTGGTTTGGGATTTGGATTACACGCCAAATACAATGTGACTAGCAATTCGCAAGGCCAGAGAACTTTAAAATGCTGTTTGTGGGGCCATGAATGTTCGTTATTACTCCTGCTGGTTGGTTTTATAAATCAACTCTTCCACTAAAGGTAGTCGTAGAAATGGACAAACTTTAAGTACTCTTCAAACTGCCCATGTTAGCTCGCCATGGATTAAAGCTCCTAGATTTCTACAAATTCTGCTTTTAGCCAAACAAACATTTGACTTAGGAGGGATTCAGACCTTGAACCTCTAGAATACTGTGTAAGTTGTGCAACCAAAAGATTCACCCAGCCCTGTCCTTGTCTCTAAACTTGAGTAGTGATGGCTGATCCAGCTGACGGAGTGACAACATAGTATGCTGGAGGTCACGGGTTTCTAACAACCCCTTTATCAGGGATCAGTCTGACTGTTTTACTTGGGTGCGCCGACTGGATAAGGATCTTCTTACCTTGCTGACAAGGATGAGTTTATCGGTCAGTTTAGTAACAATGACCTGCAGGTAAGGGACAGCTTCTGCTTTCAGCATGACCAGGGATCTCATGATAGCTGCAAGACAGACAAACACCAACCAAGGAAAACAGAAATCCTCCAATATGAGTTGCCATGCATCTTGACTGTCAATAAATGCATTGCAAGTTACAAGATTACAATTACAAGTTGTCCCCCCTCTCCTGTTTTGAAACCTCATCTTTTCTTTCAAGTTAACTCCTTGACGGTCCCACACCTTTCATAATGTACTCGTTCTCTTCTGATCCAGAGATCTCCATCGCAGCAAAGAGGTTTGTGAGTAAGGTCTCGATGTGTGGCTTGACAGACTCTACTGAGATGCTGGGACCAGAAAAGAGAAACGTGAGTTGGTATAAGGCGAGTATGAGGGTTAGATTGATAAATGATTACACGGTGATTGCCTCCAGGCACAAACATACTAAATTTTTATTCTGATCCCCACTCTGTTTACGTTTTGCATTAATTTGCTAAAAGAGTTTCAGTTTATGTCGTTTTAAATCAAAGTCAGGGCATAATGGAAGACCACTGTATGGAATAAGTTACATCCTGGATAAATATAAGAAATAAATAAATAAGAAATGTATTTGTTTCCCTCATCACTGAGGGCTGCAAGTTAATTCCTAAACAGATGTTTGTTTTTTGAGAACTACATTAGAACAAATTCTGGGGATATTTGCCGTCATTAAATACAACTGAATGACTGTAAAATTTTGAGGAAGTAGGGTGCTCTATTCAGCATGGTGGAATCTTCCTTCCACAGAACTTCTTTAAGTTGACAATCTTCCGCAGCAATTCTACAATTCTACAAACTTTCCGCTCAACTTTCCTAATTCCAATCCCATCAGTGGTTTCACTCACGCTCCTTGTCCGTTGGCAAGTTTGACAGTGAAGAGTCTCTCAATGGCGTGCGCTGCATAGGTGTGGACCACAGTGCTCTCCGCCCGCAACAGGTGTATGAGACAAGGGAGGGCGGCAGACAAGACCTCAGGGGGGATGACTTGACGGAAGGCCATCACATACTTGATAGCGTCTGCCTTGAGAACTGGGAACTCATCAACTAGTTGAAGAAAACAGAAACATCAATTTGGACACCTTTGGACTGGAGCAACAAAATAAAACTCTTGCATCAACCAGCTGAAAAAATGTTAGATAAAATCAAGGTTTCGGCCGGAAAGTTGATTGAATATGTTTTGGACACCTTGTAAGAGTTACTTTGGACTTACTGTTACTTTTTTGAGAATAATAAAGAAGCAGCAACTTGGACGACGTGAATTTAAAAGTCCACCGCCAACACGGGACATCCAATTTTCAAATGCTGTTTAAAACCCTGGTTAGTTCAAAGCCAAATGCTTGTGTGGATGGACTAAATTTGCAAGGTGAACTGACGCAGAGAACGTGAATGATGACCCTAAGAAAGTTAAGAGCACGGGACGTACCATTTTGTGACTGAAGGTCTCCAGCGATGTGGGCAGTGAAGAAATCATTAATGTTGACAAGTTCTCTAACCTCTGTTGTACCATGCTGGGAAGTGGGAGAGGAGAATAACAAGACATTGACTTCACCTCACCATGAAACAAGGTATCGAGGAAGACATTAGAACGTGGTGCTGTAGTTAAGGTCAAGTGTAGTGCTTGTATCAAAGTTTAGAGACAAGTCACAACATCCAACCAGTTTTTTTCTCCCAGCTGCAGATCTAAGTGAGCTTTGTGTTCATCCCTTTTGCCTTCACCTACTACTTGAATTGGTACTCCATTAAAGCATTCTGACCTAACACAGGGGGAGGCAGGTGTACGAGGCTGGGAGTCTTTGAGTTACCTTCTGCGTCTTGGATTTAGAGGCAAGCGATGTCACCAAGTAAATGGCTGCATCTTTACTCTTCCAATTTACTGATGGATTGGAAGCATAGAGCTGTGAGAAATAAAAAGGAAGTACGATGGAATCAGATTAAAGAGCCACCTTGTCACACTGATTCATCAGTTCAGGGACCAACTCTTATCAAAGCACTACTTCCTCTACCAGGGACGGATGAATTGATGGTCTTACCAGGGTCTTAGAATTAAAAACAGGCCTTTTCAGCTTGCACCCGATTTTCTCTTCGGCTTCAGAAGCATTTCCTTCAATTTTTTTTTTTCACAGCTGTAGGAGAGTAGCTTGAAAAAGTAAAAAGCTGGATATTTACTGAGACTCAATGAATGACTACCTGAAGCATGGTGGTGACATAACTTGAAAAAATCTGAGTGACAGTCGCTTCAAAGAATTTACAGAGAGACCTGACGAGATCGCAGGCAGCACGACGTCTCGTGTCAATATCTGAAAAGATAAAGAGTGCATTTGCACCACTGGTATGCATCGTCAGATTTTCAAAGAAGTATACCATTTGTCATTTACACAACTATATAAATCTGTCCTGGATTATCATATTCCGGCTTTTTAGCACAGTGGAACTAAGAAATCAACCAAGTTATTTCTAAAAATCTTGTCTTATTTCAGAGCAGTTTTCTATGCAAATATCACAAGCAACATTTGGAACAAAAATACTTTTATTTCGGTCAGTTAGACAGAATTCTTTAGACGACATTATGGCTTGAACAGCAACCTACCTGAGCCTTCAATATCTCTACGGATATACTCCTCTGGGTTAAACTCAAACAGTTCTTCATCAGATGCTGATAGAGAAATGAAGTTAAGTTTTGATTTCAATATAATAGTGCCAACTGTATACACGTGATTACCAAAAGTGTTCTCCGATTTATACGAGTACTGATTACACATTAACAGCTGTGTCTGTAGGCCTATTTATTAAGTACATGTAGACCTAAATCTAAGGGTTAGTTTTGGTGAAACCATTTGTCTGCGACTGGTCAATTATGAATGGTACCCAGGATATTTTTTGTGTAAAGGATACCAGGGAAAATTGACCAGTGGTTTGACAGATGGTTGTGCTAGACCCTGCTCTCTGTCTTTGCAATTAACTAGGTATGTGCTACGAATAAACGAGTCACAACTCCAGAAGCCTACATCAGGCACATTGAAACTGGATTTTTTTTACCAAGTTACTTGAGACTTTTCAGGACAAATCTCTGTGATCTGTGACCCTGACTCAGACTTTGTGGATCAGGACTTCCATACAGATTAGACTACACAGACTTCAGGACAATGTAGTGGAATTCCAATCAATTAGCACAATTTACCTCTAAACTCCATGTTAGGTACAATGACCTTCTCACAGATGCTAGTTAACACCGCAGGGTCATCAAAAAGATTCTTGTAGTGATCGCGGTTCGCAACCGATGCCAGGAACTGGATAGCATTGCTCACCAACTGAACACAGACAAAACGATGTCAGATTCAGGAAAACAAAGTCTTTACAAGTTGTCTTCAGAGGACAGGAAAAAAAGCTACATTGAGCAAGATGCACCTGCAGTTCATGACCATTAACAATGTACTCAGTGGTTACGGAAAGAATGGATAACAGAAATGTACGTGCTAAGTCTACATGTTAGCTGTTTAGCGGGTTCTGATTCAAGCTTGATGTAGACAAAATAAGTGACACTAAAATCCAGCGAGGGAGCTGTTGACATTTTATAAACATTCATTTAGAGAGGCGTCTTCAATTTAAGTTCCCATCTCATTCCGGACTTAACTGTTTAAGATACTCAAAATGTAAAATAACTGAACAGTGCAGCAAGATAAAGAGATTGGCCAGCAGATAGCCAGGCAAGGTTAGCAGTAGAGCAACAAATGCAATCATTTTAGGGTTCAGGGGTTGGAATCCAACTCACCAGATCATATTTGACTTGGTTGTTTGTACTGACCAGCAGATGCCAGACAGCTGTGACAAAGTTCGGCAGGAAGGGACCGAATTCCTCGTCGTATTTCTGAGCATAGAGGGAGATGTTGTCACAGATTTGTGATTTGAGTCGCTCTAATGTCCCCGCCTCTTCCTCATCCTACATGATGCAGTGAAGAACAAAAACAACCAAAGAAGAGTACATCACAAGCAAGTGGGAAAAAATCTCTCAGTTCACAACTTACGCCAGGTATTATTCATCACTGAAAAGTGTGGCAGACATTTTTTTTCTCTCAGAAAATCGGCACTATGTTGAAAAGGGATGGGTTTCACGACATTTTGGCACATTTTCCCCAATATTTTCAGACATTCTCCAGAAACATCTAACCACTGTGAGCATTCCCCAAGGTGTTAAGGTAAAATACAAACCCAAGGTACCAGGTACAAGGAACCCCGGAGGCAAGTGGTTTAGGTGAATTACAATGGCTACTTTGAGAAGAGGAGGCTGACGGAGGTTCACTGGGCACAGACAAACCTTGGTGTGAAGGACAGGTACATCTTCACTGAGCAGCTTGAGAAAGTTACTCATCCATGTCTTCATGTTGTCCTCAAAATACTCCGGAAGATCCTGGGTTGAGAACAGGTGGAGATTAGACACATCAAAAAATGACGCATAGGAGACAGAGAGCCATAATCATGGCAGATTTACAGATGATTGTCTGGAAAGGAACTCATCGGTTAATTCCTTTTACAATGGGTTGTACGTCGGCCAAGGGATCACGGTGCATTTGGCAGCTTTTATTTGTCCTCTGAGGTTCTCCTTGACAGGAACTGTTGGTGATCCATTAGGGCTGTGCCGTATATCCAAATATTTGATTGATTATCGAATATTCAAACATTATTTTCTAAATTTGAACAGTCGAATGCAAAATTTATAAAAAGGAATTTCTTTTGTTTTCAATGAGAAAAGTTGCACTATGGAGGCTTGTTTCAAGCAGACTCAAATGAAAAGTGACAGAAATCTCAGAATTCAAAAAGTAAATTATTCACTAAAAAATCTAAAAGGAATAGAAATTTTCAACATGGCGAGAAGTATTTTGCTAAATCATGGATGGAGATACCCCTACACGTGAGAAGATATAACAGTGATTATAATGTACAATTGCGGGTTATTGCAACTGATTTTGTATATGGTTCGTTCATCAACAATTTACTGGTAAGTACGACCGAATATCCATATATTCGATCAAATTGAAGGTCAAATTTTCAAATAGTTGATTATTCAAATTGACTCAGCCCGATGATCCTTCGGACAGCAGGTTCAAACTTAGCAGAGAGCTTGTGACATTCATAATGACAAATTCTGTTGTAACTGTCTCCAACCCCATACCCTCACCCCTAAGAGAAAGTTAAAGCTTTCTGGCCTGTAATCTAACCCAATTACAGGATTATGTTTCAGCAGAGGGCACTGGTATTGACACCCACCTGACAGTTGAGACTGTAGAACACCTTACACATCAACACCAAAGCTTCATACTTCATTTTGACATCACCATTAGTCCCTTGAATCGTTTTCTGAAATCAATCAGACGACAAAAAGCTCACAGAACAGAAATTATCAAAAAATCTAACCACCAAACGCACTAAGCAATATTTTTGGCTCATTGGCTCTCCAAAATCGAGGCCAAAGAAGCTAGAAACAGCAAATGAATTGCAGTTTGACTTACCTCAAAACGTTTGGTGAGAGGTTCAGCTAGTGTATCCAGGACCATCTTGATCTCCGTCCATAATTCCTGCGACTTGAATTCATGCCGATACCTGCAATAGAATTCAAGTCATCAAATCAGGCTTTGATAAAATACGCCGTGTCTGAATCAAATGGCTGTAGCTTACATTAACACACCTGTCTGTAGCAGATAGTTGTAGCCACTAGCTTCCACAGATGCACATCCTTATTCTCCTGCGGCAACCCAAGCTTTAAGACAAAGCCTGGATCTTACAACATTATCAACACAACCCGATTACTGCTTCAACTTGTACAAGGTTAAAATTCCATCAAGTTATTAGCTTCTGACCAACATCCCCACGAGCAAAGATATTGACAAACTGTAGAGCCACCAACGTAGGACTGGATAGCTGAGTTGGTAAAGCACCGGTATGGTATTAAGGAGCTCGTAGGTTAAAATCTGGCTTAAGTCAATTTCTTTGTTCATCTTTATAATCTTTATAGTGGTAAGCACTCTGCTGTGATAAGGCGTTATTCACTTCCTTGAACTTTTCTGAAGAAGAAAATGCAATGTTTGCATTTCAGTCTTTCTCAGGTACAGAAATTTCATATTTTTCAACTTCAAATCAGACATAAAATCAGTATTAACCCTAACAGTCCCCAGTCCTCCAACAGGTGAAGGATTGAGGACTGTTAGGGTTCAGACAGTAGAACACACCCTAGGTATGCTTCCCCCACCTTTTAAAGAGAGAGTGTGCTGTTCTTAAGATGCCATTAACGGTGTTGAAATCTTCACTCTCCAACTTGGATTTCATTTCTTCCAGCAACTTGGGCCAGCGATGAGGGAAATCCTCTCTTCCGATTATACCAATTGCTTCACTTAACTGAAGAAAAGCAAGTTGTAATGAAATGTGTATCACATCTTTCTTGTCTCTTCCAGAACTGTAGTTGAGTTTCCAAGAGTCTTTTACAAGGGCTGTTTACGGGTCTAATCAGAAGTAACACAATAGAAATATGACAAAGGAATGCTTTGAAGTTAGTCAGTGTCTTTGAATAATTAACTTGTGACTTGGCTGAAGACTAGACGACTTGTTGTGGCCTTGCAGCCGCCTTCTAGGGATTTATGATGGACTCTACAGCTAAGCCTCTAGCCGGTAACAGGTCAAATGAAGAGTAAGTAAACTACATCCAACTCAACTGGCTGAGGCTTGGAGAAACATACGAAATACATAGACAAGATTGACGCTGTTTGGTGCAGGGCTGCAGGTGTTATCACTCAAGATTAGAGTAGGACAAGCTCTGTCTTAGCCATGCTAAACTGCCTAAGGTTACGACTCCTACAGCGCAGAAGACAGTACACCAGCTTAGTGATGTTCCATAAAATCATGCATCCTAAAGTTGATGTGGACATTGGAGATTACCTTAGTCTACAAGAACCCCCTTCCTCACCCAAACAAATGACCATCCGGCGTTGCAAACTAAACCAATAAGTCATACCATAATCAACATCGCAATCCCATCTTCATTCCTCTTCCCCAAGAAGGCAAGAGAATGGAACAAGTTGCCAGAACAGATCCCTTCAAGAGGCAATATAGGAGATATTAAAACTACGTTGCAAAGTTATCTGCAGTTGGAACAAGCAACCTCCTCCAGTACTGTTTTGAGTGATGTTCAAGTTGAGCTTTTCAGAGTATTTCACCAGATCCAGAGTATCTACAGGACAAGGCAGCCAGAAACTACTGACTTCCACAGGTAATACATTATCTCCAGCAGTAGCCACAAATTTAAAAAAATAGCCACAGACGTCTAAGTAATGACCCCTTATGCAGGAAGATAATGCCCTACAATGATGCTATTAACCACTCACCTGTCTCTGAAGGCTTTCGGGCATATTGAGCATCAGCTCGACGATCTTGTCTTTGACCAAAGTTCTGTCTGCATCAATGATCTTGTTGGGCTCATCCTCAATCTACAACAGTTCAAAATGAAAAAGAAAAAAAGAGGAAGTGTTAAGTTGAAAGGCCCTATTGAGAGTATTCCAAGTATGCAAGGCCAGCAGACCTTCAGTGTATTTTGATAATGTGAGGAATCTTTGAATGTTTTCTTGTCCTAAACGTTACAGCACCTAACAGGATGGGTTTGCCCACAAGTCCAATGCTGGGTAAAACAGAGATTGAAAATTTTGTGCTGGGAATTGCTGTGTGCTTTTTGACTGACCACTCTCCAATTGCGCCGCACAAAGTTCTTGAACGTGATGGCGGCGGATGCTCGGATGTCGCTGTCCATCTCATTTTTACTGAGCAACTCCAGAAGAAAGATGGAGTAATTTGCCCGTGCCTCGACTGACTCCAGATAAGATTCGGCTAAGGGATGAAAAATGAAGCAAAAAGACAAATACAAATAGTTTCATTCTGCACTTAAACCAGATCCATGTTCAAGGCACTTAACACTGACCTTCAACCTTAAGAATTCTTGCTAAGAACCTTTCCCAGTGTAGTTATCAGACAACAGCTTTGTACTTAACCTTTCAAGGGGTTTTCAAATTACAAGGACTACTTTTAAAATGTAAGCAGCCCTTCCTTCCTCAATCCTACAAAACCCTCAAAAACCTCAGGAGAATTTTTGAAAATCTCAAAAAATAAGGATGAACGGTTAAGCGAAAAATGGGATTTATAAGCTTGGTAATGTTGTGAAAGTTTGACCAAGACACACACATCTTATTTAAATAACAGAGATTTCAAAGTTCAGAGAAACAAGGGTTTTCATACATTGTAGTTTGTGCCTGCATACCTGTTATGATACTAGTCAAATTCTATCTGTCCTGACCATTCACAGTACAGTCTTCAGTTGCATGCATCAACTCTCACACAAACTATACATTGTTTACAAGATCTATCCCATACTTCCAGTTCAAAGTCCTTTGTTGTGCAGTTTAAGGCATGGAGGATGGAAGGGGGGGTCCAGCAAAGATTCCTAAATGATCTAACCTGCTCGTCTTTCTGTCACATTGACTGACAGCGTCTTTTGTAAGGAGCTGGCGATGGCATGTAGATCCTGCTGGGTGAGTTCCATTTCTGGAAATTCTGGAAAACAAGTTCAACATAGAATTTCTTCAAAGAATTCAAACCGTTTTACTGATGTACTAGCAACCTTGCATGGACAACTACATAGAATAGAAAAACATTCAGTTTTGTCAAAACAAAAATAGGACATGTTGGAAGACAAGAATTATCACGATTTTATAAACAGAATATTAAGAGCTTTCTAACTAAGACTGCTCACAACTAACATCGTACTGTGACACACGCATGATGCTAAGTTAGGTGAAAGTTATTAACCACGTCAAACCATGGATGACAAACAAATGAGGAATCCTGACAATCCTTTGTCACCTGCATGTTTATCCTTTGCAACTCCTAAGTTCATTTGATTTAGTCAATTCTGACTGCACTGGGATGAAACATGATTGATGAGTACTCTTGTTGATTATCAGCACCTACTATTGGTAAGCCCAACTCACTGGGTTGTCATTGGTCCAATTAACTTGGACGCTACGAATTGCATAGGACATAGTATTAGTAGACCTTAGTAGGCTCGCAGTGCAAATGACACGACCATGACAACTGATGACTTGTTACTTTAACATAGGCCTATTTAAGTTAACATGTTGAAAATATTTTTTGGGAAAGAGTTCTACATACGGACAACACCTGATGCCCCGGTGCACAAACCTATGAAGTATGAGACTTGTCTGAAAAAACTAAAGTGTTTTCTAAGTAGCCTAGGGTGCTTTGGAATTTTCTTAGCTAAATTTCACTTTTTATGAAATGCTATCACTTTCTGATGGTTGTTCTAACATTTTAAGTGAAAATTAGTGTTGTCTGTATATGGAACTAACCTTATAGGCCTAGGCCCAACATTAGTTCAACATTTTACTTAGGCTAATGTGGCCTACCATGCCTAGGTAGTAGGTTACACGACATTAATTTATATTGGCCCAAATAAGCCTTATTGCAAATACTGCATGGGTGATTTTGCACAACGGTAGAAAGGCATTGTGGGGAAGAAAAAGGGGCAATGCCTTTCTATCACTGTGTAAAAACTCCCATGCAGTATTTGCGATAAGGCTTATGAACAAGTGGTGACTAGTCTTACATGTCTCACTTAGTCTACCACAGCACTATGGCATTACCATGACATGCATGATAACTGTGTAGGTCTAGGCCCTAAGCATGCTAAGTCACTTCAACAATGTCTTTCATCATTCATGTCCTTCAGGATAGTTATGTTAGGAAAGAATTTTTATAGGGGCCTAGGGCCCTATAGCATGTATAGCCTGGGCACTCTCTCTATTCACACATGTATGTAGCCTATGCAATAACAGGGACCACAGCAGAAAAAAATCCAGACGTTACCGGACACACGCCGTAGACGCGACCGCCAGAGACTGATACAGTGAGAGACTCATCATATCAGTCTCAATTAGTCACTGCACTTTCCACTCATACCACTTTTCAACCCTGCTTACAGTTAAATTAAACTTACAAAACAGTTACCACTGTAATACCTCTATCAAACTAAAACTTACAACTAAAAATGGACGACTTTTTCTCTATGAAAACACACTGATGGTTAATGACACAGGCAAGTACGCTTTTTATGCACATGTAACTTACATGTGACGTACATGGCCTTCGTATACAATATACATGTACAGTGTACATGTAAACCGTACATGTATGCACGCGCTTTACACTTCCTACCTGCTGTTTTCAACGGGCGGCTTTTTTTCAAAATCTGCGCAGCCTCTATTTTTCCTCTTTCGATAAAAATCGAATTTATTGGAAACAAAATCTATAGAATGACAATGAGTGATGATAAATAATTTTCTAATAAATGTAATTAATCTTATATTTAGTTAAGATAAATGAAAATATCATTATTTCTTTTTTTAAGAGAATAATGAAATTCATATTAAACAATCAAATGAAAATAATTGTTCGTCAGAATCCACGTGACTTTCGTCCAATCACCATGGTCTAAAGAGACCGCCATCTTGACTTGCACTCTGAGTGGAGAAGAAGAAACTCGCGCGCTTCACCGGAACTTAATTTCACGAATTAACCATTTTCCGCCGTTGTCCCGTGTTCCGTGGTTGTTCTCCTTACTCCTGAGAAACCATGGCAAGTACGGGTGGCGGTAAGATGCGCCAAAAACGGTCGCATGGGGCCAGTAAACCGTACCAACGTACCCAACCAAAGGTGAGTTTTCGGGAAGCCACATGTCGTATTCAACCTGTAGGCCTATTGCGTGCAAGGAACTGTGCAACCATCGTTTCCCTCGAGGGGCATGCTGTCGCCATTGCTTCGTGACTTGTCTGCATATTAGTGTTGTGTTGTACTCAATAGTCGAAGTGTTTCTTTGAAGTGTTCTTTCCATTTATATTTTGTTGTGATTTATCTAGGTAGGCCAAGGGCCTATTTTAACTTTTAAGTGATTTCCCTTTACAAATTATCAGCCTAGACCTTGCCTACACCGATTTTGGGTCAGCTCGTACCCGACAATGCCCGAGTTATGTCGTACCCAAGTTAAGTAGTACCCTGGTCAACTTTTACCCCAGTCAAGTCGTACCCCATCAACTCGCACCCCATCAACATGATCAACTCGTACCCTAGTCAAGTCGTACCCCAGTCAACTCGTACCCCAGTCAACTCGTACCCTAGTCAACTCGTACCCCAGTCAACTCGTACCCCAGTCAACTCGTACTTTCAATGAGGATTAGGCCTACGGTTGTTTTTTCCCCTTTTTACTAATGATTACAGTTCTGTTTGTTTTTGTTTTCGGTATACGAAAAATGTTTCCTCTCCTTTTGCACTTAATTGTTATACAATCACTATTGATTATTTATTGTATTAATGATTACAATACTGTGTTTTTTTATTTTTTGATGTGCGGCCAATGGTAAATGCTAAGGATGGATAAAAAGTGATGGCTCTATCCCATTCAGAGACGCTCGCTCTTAGTAAATGGATAAACTTTGGGTGCTTTTGAAAAAACAGTTTAGTCAAGGGTGTGACACTGTGAGATTAATTGCTATGCGGAGCCTCGGGAGGGTAGAACTAATAAGAAAAATTAAACTTGTGTAGACCGAAACCATGTTTACCCAAGCGATGGGTGGGGTTAGGTTTTACCTGTGAAAATAGCGGGAATGCATTTTTGTGCCTTCAGGGTAAATGATTGCGATCCATCACATCAACATCCCCTCTTTCCAAACAGCGTTCGTTCTTGATGAGAGTTTATTTGACTTCTCTAAAGGCGTCATTAACCCAGTTGGCGTATTTCAAAAATAGCTCTTTCTCCCCAAAAGAAGCTGTGACATCAACCATACATGTTCGATCAGAGTATATTTACTGATTTTATTAATTCAAATTAATCAAGCTACACAAGCTGACATCAACCATACATGGGGATTTTCTTCAAAATCAGACTGGTAAAAGGAACTGTATACATGCGTTCAATAAATGTTAGCATCATTGGGAGTACGAGTTGACTTGCGTAAGAGCCAGCCTGGGTACAAATTAACTCGGGTGTGAGTTGACCTGGGTACGAGTTAACTTGGGTGTGAATTGACCTGGGTACGAGCTGATCTGGGTAAGAGTTAGCTCAGGTACGATTTGACCCATTATGCTACACCATGCTTTATTTCTTTGTGTACCCATTTCAACATGTTCAAGTTTTTATGCCTTGGCAAAATATTATGAAAGTTCAAGTTGGAATTGAATTGGTAAAAAGTGGGAAAAGTTTCATATATGGATGCCAATAATTCTTCCCTACAGTGACTTAGTAGCCATCAGAAAGCAAAGACATGTCCAGAAAGGTTCAATTTATGAGGGAAAATACCAAGTCGTTTACTGAGAAAACACTTACTGACTTACAATTTTTCAGACCAGTCTCATAGGGTTTGACAACCTGGTGTCAAGTGGCTCTTTCCTAAAACGTTTCGTCATCTTTTCCTTGACTTTTTGACTAATATTTGAAGGGCCAGATTAGTTTACTTAACTGTTACTGTTAGAAATTTTTAAAACTTTGAAAATGCACCCCATGTACCCTGTCGTGCATGTAGGCCTAACATTTTAGAATGTGTTTTTTTTTAAGACTGCTGGCCAATCGTAGTGCAGCTTGTGGTTCATATTCAACCATGCATGAAACAGCCATATGAAGGTTATGGCTGCAAACTGGTACAGTTTGGGGGAAAAAAATTCTACTTTTCATCAGTCTGAAGCAGGTCCTGCCTATTTAATAAAGGACTTCCTGTTTTTGAGGAAGAAATCCCGAGTGGAATGGTTTGCCAAGTAAGTAAATGTCATAATCTGGATTTGTCTTTGGTTGATGTTTATTGTGAGTTGTGTTATTTATCTTTGCAGTCGTTCCTAGATCGAGTTAAGGATCTTGTTACGCCGTCATGGCTGTCCAGTATGTGGAGCAGTGATGCTCAACATGAAACCCACACTCAACCTTTCAGCACCAAGGCATCAACCTCCTCGTCAAACTCACTCCCTCCCAGACAGTCCATCCGAGATGGCCAGTACTGTAATCCGACAGAAACTGAATCGGAACCGGGCCCGTCTACTAAACTTACTGAAGCAGAAAAAGTATCAGAGCGAGGAGATGAGCAGCTTAACACGCCCGTTCTGCCATCCTTTGGAGGGCTGTCAGTGCCCGTGAGTACATCAACGCCAATTGACGTTGATGAGGAAATCATTGAAATTGATTCAGGAGAGGGCACTTCAACCCAGAAAGGTAGGCACTGATGCATACCCAAAGCAAGCATGGATCGTCTTCAACAAGTTTCCATTATCCCATGTGGATATTGTCATTGAGTCAAGTACACGTACATCCAAGTTTACGGAATTTAGCCTTGGTCACTAATGGACCTGTTCATTCCAAGTTTGTTGATTAGCCCTCACCCTCCAGGGTACTTTGGCTAGAAAAACATCTCTGCCAAAGTCTGCATCATTTGTCAAAGTGGCTTGCCTGCCCAGTGGAGCAAGGTTCCAACAGGTTGACTTTCCCAAGGCTACATGGCCTGGGAGTCTGTGGTTGCGAGTCACCACAAGATCCAACAGTGGCATTGTTCAATGGGACTAGCTCCCATTGTCTCAATATGGCCAGTTTGTTCGGCTGCTGTTAATGTCCCATTACATCAAAGTGCATCAAACTTTTTCACCTGTTGCACAATGCTGCATCTGGCCAGGGTTAGGGTCGATAGACCAACACAAAAATTCCTCAGGTTGTATTCTGTTTAAATTCAGAAGGATGTTCTGAGAGAAAATGTAACCACAGCTGTTTTCAGGTGTTTGAAGGTACCTTTGTAATTCTTCACAAAATCTGTTGGCAACAAAGTTGGTCAAAAACCTTTCAAACTCTTCTGGTAGGTTTTGAAATATCTGGGTTGGTTAGGGTTTTGTGGACTGAAATAAGGTATTACTGCCGTACCTTTGAACACTTCCAATCCTGAAACATTAGAGTACTAATAGTTGATGGCAGAACTTAGCGTAGTTGCTGAAAGAAACTACAAACTTTTTATAGGTGTGCGTCATTGCAAATACATGCTCTCTTGCAAAAACCTTCTCCATTGTGGAATATGTTCAGAACACAGTAATTTCTGCCAGGTGTATGCCTTGTGCTGAAAAAAATGTTCTAAACAGGGAGGCTTCTTAAAAGCTCAGAAGGCTTGGGTCTTTCTTGTGGGAATATTGCTGGGTGTCATTTGAAACATACACACCTTTTGGGGAACAGCCAGGTAATTATAAGCATGAGCGTGCTCCTCCAGGAAAGACAGAAAAAGACCATCCCAGCTGGGAATTGGCACGCCATGTTCCAGATAAAGAGGTATTCCAAATAAAGGATTGCCCCAAAACTCGGAAGGCTAGGAACTTTCTAAAGGGGAATACAACTATTCATTACTCAACACTCTCACTGTTTCTGATCATGTGGAACAGCTCTGTCCTTCTGCGTCTGCGCATTCATCAATTATCAGCCCAGTTGAGCTGGGAATAGGCTTAGTGACAGAGAAGAAATGCTCCACATAAAGGAACTTGTCAACTCTGCTGGATACCCACAAGTCAGAGCACCATAACAGATTTTACTGGTCATTTCCAGTGGGAACACCCCATTTTAACTAGGAGCATGTCATAAACGTGACATTCGCCTATCAGGAATGCATTGCCTCGCAGTCTCAGATTAGCAGAAAACACTGTCGTGTTTGAGAAACCTGGTGAAAAAGTTTCTGGTATGGTTTCAGCATTCTTAGAAATGTCTCTCACCATGCCAACAAAATGTTCATTTCTCTATCTTTTTCTTTCACTCCTAACGTTAACAGTGGAGGATACGTCTGAGATCTCAGCTCCACCAAGTGTCGTTTCATCTCTCTATCCCAACCTTGATAAGTTGGAACACCAGCAGAAACTGTCCGAGTCTAACCTTGAACTTCTCTCAGGTAAACAGACACAGATTTGTTCAGTCATTTAAAACCTAACCCCTCAGCATTTTGTCTAGTAGGCTGATTCAACCTGTCAAATTCCAACACCGTTTCACTGCTGGGTGGAGTGTTATTTATGTATTCAACCCGCTTGATTCCAACAGTCCACTTGCTGTATCAGTACACAGCCCAACAAACTCGATAAAGGGTGCTTTGTTTCACAGACTTGTAGAGACACTCAAGGATAAAGGATGCTTTGTTTTACAGAAATGGGACATAGACATTCCCCAATGCCATCATCTGGTCTCTGGTCTCACACACCATCCAGCCGGTCAGCAACCACCCAAGTTAGGCCAGCGTCTCCCTTCAACCGACCTCAACAACCTGCCATTAGTACACGCAGGCCAGTGTTCAATGCTAGTTACTTCGGCACACCTAGAGGCGTAAGTGACCACGTCCTTGCTAACGATGTCAGTTCGTGCTATGTGGAAAAAATTTAAATGTCTTGCCATTCTACTTATTGTATGGATAACAAAACTGTCTCCAGAAACAGATTTTTAAAATAAGGCTGCATTCGAATCTGTTGTCTAGGGCTATGTCTAGGTCTTCGCTCCATTGGAAATGTGTGGAAATGGTTAGACAATAGACCTAGCCGTAGCTCTGGAAGCCCGTTTCGGACATGGCCTAAGCTGACCAGTGGCTGTAGCCAGTCCTATATGGACATGTCTCCTACCCATAGCCAGTTGATTCGGTCTCTATTTTACCCTATCTGCTGTGCCTCATTGCGCCCTCTTGTGTGCATGCACACAGCCCTAAGTGACATCTGTTCTGCGTCATTTACATCCTGCATCTTGCAAGTCCGACAATAAACAGGCAGGATTATCTCAGGCAGGCTAAAAGAAGTTTGCTGAGTACTGTCGGTTCAAATCAAGCTCGACGCCCTTAGGGTGTCATCATGACAAAACCTGTACCAGCAACTGGGGATTCAACCCATTGTGGATGCCAGGCTTCCTACCGTGAATCATGCACCTGTTCTGCTATGCTGTCTCCAATATATGAGAATGTTCTCTTTCATCAGTAAGCACTGAAATTGAAAATGAAAACCACAGCCTGCGGAAGATGTTAACCCTAACCTCGGAGACCTATGTCCTTGAACTCCATGAATCGTGCAAACCATCTTGTAAATGTTTCGAACCATGATTAATAACCAAGGCATAAAACCTCAATGAAAACACCAAAATCCAGCACTGTAGTAAAGCAAGGACGACTTTAATTTGCAAAACTAGAAACCTCAAACCTCAGATTTACCCAAGTTAAATGACTGATGGCAGGGGTTTACAGATTTTGGGTCTTTCAAAATGAAGCAAAGCTTGAATGTACATTTTGAAGATGGTATGTTGTTTCTCACTCTCAGCTCTCCAAATTGTGTCTTTCTCCAGAGCTTGAGAACGTCGTCATCGATGGAGTCAGCTAGCTCATCTCCCTTCTACCCAGGGAAGACAACCTATGGTGGAGCGGCAGCTCAAAGATCGGCCACTCTGAAAAGGACAAGAACGTCGCCTTACGAGGTAGGTTGGACTTACGCAGATGGATGAAATCTCATTGATGTTCCCGTTTAAAGCTGCAAAAGCTGATGTAGTTATGAATCCTGTTTTCTCCTCGTCTCTGTGCTAGGTTCACCTGCCCATCAAGCGATCTGTTCGGCCCAGGATGGCCAGGCCAGCAGCTGAGAGTGACATGGGAATAACAAGCAATACTGCCAAGAGGATTCTAGACACGCTGGAGAAGATGTCTACTCCCTTGTCAGATGCTAAGAGGATACCATTATCACCATCAGCATCCCCGCTAGCGATTTGGGTGAGTTCAAACACCTGTATGCCACACCTCCACCCCATGTTTTACCCCTTACCACTGAACTTACCTATGCCTACAATTCCATGTCCAAATTTTGTATTGCTTCAGATTGTTGGATTTACCAAGGAGCGTAGTCTTTGTTATATTGTATGACATTGGGAAAGGAGACCTGAATGTGACACATTGTAATTCCAAGAATCATTGTCTGGAACAAAAGTCATGAAAGTAGAGTGTTTCACCATGCTCTCCTGATAGATGTTGTTAGACAGCCACAGACCATCAACTTGCCCATCGCCTCAACTTGTAACCCTGAGCCCAATTTAAATCTAGACCATAGCTGAGATGTTTACTGCTGGAAGTGCTCTCATATCTCTCTTGGGGGACTTGTGTCTTTGTGTTGGAGTTATCACTACTTTTTCATTGCTACCAGCAATTTTTCTGTCGGTCAGATAGAGCGAGGACCAGACCATTGAAATCAATCACATCTGTTTATCTTTTAGTTGTCGTCACTTGTCATGAGTCAGTGCCTTATTCACAGTAAATTGAAGCCAGCTATTGATTCCAAAAGCAATTGATAGCAAAGCTCATCTTGAATCTTAAGTTAATGTTTGTTTTTAGGAAGAATTTTAAGCCAATTCGCGGAAGATCGGCCAATGTAATCAAAGCCAAACAAGTTAACCAAAGCGACATGTGATATCCAAAATTTCAATTAAGTTATTATTTTTATGTATAACAGAACAAATATTCATCTTGGATTGCTTTCTTTTCCAATCTTTACCTCTGCCCTTCCAAGAAAACTATCAAATATTTCTCAAAGAGTAGAATTTACTGGCAGTGTCTGTTGATTTCGTAGTCTAAGGAAGTGGACACACTATGTGAGACATATTCTGGTCATGAAGTGTTGAATGGAGTAGCCTTCAGTGCCTCCACAACCTTCTGGAGATGGCTGTCGTGTTTACAGTTGTTATCGTAGAATCATAAATAATGCAGGCGTGCAACTTTCCATCAGATCAGCTGATTTCCTTCTTTTCACTTCACATTCATTCCATTGGAAATTGAAAAACACTGTACAAAGTCTTGTAAAGATTGGAATTTCCTTGTTTTTGTCAAAGTCCAAGTTTTGTGGCTGGCAATGGCCTCGTGTCTTCTACATACGCAAAATAAAAATGGAGCATGGACAGAGTACCGTTATCTACACAACATACAGATAATGCAAACTGACATTGGATCTGATTGCCAAAGCCAATCAATAGGCCGCTGTTCCAGCATCGTCAAATTTTGTCCAATCCAGCTTTCCGGAGTTGGCCGTTATCTTACTTTAGTCATGCAAGTTGTACAGCTAGGAATCCCCTGATATTTGATCAGTAACAGGTGTTCAAGTAGCTTGTCAAGTACCTACAAAAGCAGGGCAGTTCTTTACCTCTTCCAAAGACTGCATCATAGTGATACACCTCAAGTTTTCATGGGGAACTAGTTAAGATAAGTATTACTCAGGACAGGGGGTAGCTTAACCCTAACCCTGCCAGACACAGCACAGTGCATCAGATGAAAAAGTTGAATGCACTTTGATGCTGAAGCTGAACAAACTGGCCATGTTGAGACGATGTGAACTGGTCCTAGTGAACAATACCACTGTTGGATCTTGTCATGTAGTGTTGGGCGGTTCCAGAATTCTCAGAGCCGGTTCTGGCTCCAGCTAAGGACCGCGATCTAGAGTTGGAAAGATATAAAGAAAAGCATAAGGTTTAATAAAACACATTAAAAATCTGTCGCTGCCCCATCTCGCCGGTTGCCACTCACAAATGGCACAACGATTGGCTTTGGGTCTTTAGTGGGCTTTAAGATTATCCATAGTGGGTTTTTTTAAATTTTATTTTTGCCTCTTCGTAGCCTAGTCATGGTTGGAATAAATCTGCAACATGCATGTACAACCATGATACAACTCAGCACTGCTTCCCCCTGCACTATATTCCACTCTACGGACATGTATAAAAATATTCCAATCAGAACAACTGATTCTCCATTGCAAGTACATGTAACTTTACCCGTAATACAAATGGAATCATCGACCATGCCTCGGAACTTCAGACTGGACTTTGGACTGGATCACATGTACTTATTGAACATGTGCCAACGTATCGTAAATGGCCATGGACCATGCATAAACCGGCCATTCGTCCACAGTGGCCGCATCTAAAATTCCAATACGTCCACTATCTTGTAAGCTATGCCATTGCCCAGGTCCATGCATGGAACTGGCTCTGAAGTGAGAAGTTGAGAACGGAGACACTCGCTGGACAGTAAAAACGTTGTGGACTCTGGTGCATAAGTTTGGGCAACGGCTAGGCTTTTTCTTAACCGCTTGACGATTTGGCCTGCTGTCATGCATGTGTACAACACGTCACACGCAAGTACCAGGCAATGTTGAAGTCGTAGCCACGTGTAAAACAGTCTTCGAGCTTCATGGCTTTCGCTTCATTTTCCCTTGTGTAGAAGGGTGCCCTGCTATAATGTACAGCATGATAAACATACCCATACATGCGGCAGTGGTGACTCAGATTCTATGTTTGGAGTTGTCGACTCATGGGCGGTGAGTGGTGATAACGTGACTGGGACTCGGATTTGATGTTTGGAGTCGGCTCTTTGAATGGGGAACTGCCAATGGTGGGTGCCCAGTTCTTCACAAAAGCAGAGCCGCTGATTTCGATTTTTTTTTTGGAACCGCGGTTCCACTCAGAACTGGGAGTACTGCACAAGCCTAGTTGTGACTGGCAACCACAGACTCCCAGGCTGTTTGACCTTGGGGAGAGTTGACCTGTTGGATCTTGTTACACTGGGCAGGCAAATCACTTTGACACTGATATGTCTGGCTGGGTTTCTAGCCAAAGTAGGCTGGAGGTTTAGGGTCAGGGTTTAATGCAGTCAGCTGTTGAATTTGTTTTTTGATTGTGGGATCTTTGTTCAGGGTTTTCATTGGCAAATATGTGAATATACCCATTTTAAGATTTTTTAAAATGGAAAAGAAAAATCACATCTCTTCAATTTAATTAAAATTAAAAACACTAGTTTGCCTTGCACTGATTTATGAATTTCTTTAATTTGGAATTGAATCATCTGAATCAAAATTGGCGCTTGGTCAAACCTAGTGTATGTGAGAAAGTCATCTCGCTCACCGCATAAATTGGTTGCCACTATTTCCAGTAGATAAGCCGATTCTTGGCAGTTCGGACCTTGTAATCTAAAAAGATGATTTTTTTTATTTTTTTGCTTTCCACACAGCCAAGTAGGACGACCAAACTAAGAGCACCAACCTCCCCTCATCGAACCCCCAGGGCTGAGCACCAGGGGTGTAAGGATACCTGTTCCACCTGTGTCTGGGTTGAATATACCCCACAGCGTGAGTATAGCACGCAACAGACAGCCCCTCCTCCCTACCCCTATAGCAATTAGCACTGCCGAGGATGAATCCCAAGACGTGGAGAAGGACGCAGCAACCAGCAGGTCAAGCAGTGCGCCTGCACCAGCGATGACTATTGGTAAATTCTCCTTCAGGTAAGTTGGCTCTGACATTATGACCACGTCACCAGGGCTTGCATCTGAGACTTAAAAGTAAAACGGCCCACGTATGACCAGCTCCAAATTTCAGTTGGAACATACGGACCACAAGGACTTACACTTGTAAATAAATAATAGGGACGGCACGCCTTGCAGACCCATGTTTTCAGTGGAAACATATCTGGTACTTCAAGGAGGGTGTTTCCAGCCGAACATTCCAGGCATTTTGGGTTGCTAGATATCCCTAACCCTGTCTTGCTCTTCTCGTACCTAGGCATGATGTCCCAGCCGTGTCCACCCAAGCCCCACCACCCATCTCCAGATTGGACACCACTCCAGTCCAACCTTTAACAAACAACAGGTCTAGTAGTGGTGGGAAGATGAAAGTGAAATGGAAGAATGGTCAGAAAACCAACCCCAAAGAGCAAGCTGAAGATACAGTAAGAAAACAAGATCCATCTCCTTATACTAACTCTTTAGATATCATCGCCAGGAGACTTCCTTAACTCTCCTTGTTCAACCCAAGTGTACATTTTGAATGTACCTTGGATGCACATGCTTGTTCACACCAGTGAATCTGTAGTGTATTTGCATAAGCACGGACTGAGCATTGGCAGTCTTCCTTAAGCAGAAGCACCCCCTCATCAGTTGAGAAGAGCCATGCTGGTCGGGAGTGTTGGTAGCAACGCGACGTAACGTGTGCATTTCCTAGTTGTTCGTGAACCAGCGAAGTTCAGTTCTGACCAAAGGAGCCTCCGTTACTAAGCAAATAACACCCTTTCCTGGTCCAGCTAGGGGCTCGCAGCGTCAGAATATCGCCTTGTCATCTCTTTACTGTCTCAAATGAAGGGGAGAACTTCACATGCAGTAGATACGTCTTGAATTCTGATTCTGTTTCATTCCTTTGATTTCTTTCCCAAGGTTGAGGTTGTTGATCTGCCTAACGTTCCCCTTCCCCTGAAAACCATGCCCTCGTTCAGCTTTGGCCAGACCCTCCAGCCGCCTAAATCAACAGCGCCCTCAGCGTCCATCTCGGCGATGTCGAGCTCCGGTCACGGTTTCAGGTTCACCACCTCCACGCCTGCCATCGGTGTGAGTGCACCAGCAGCCAAAAAGGACGAAGGGAGTCACGAGTTCACTTTTGCGTCGCCCATCCTGAAGCAGACATCAACGATATCAGCGCCTGAATTTGAGACTACTGAGGTAAGCTTTTATGACTAGATATGGTAGGGCATAGAGATTTGACATTTTTGAAGTGCTTTACCCTTCACCCATCTCCTCACTGACGTATTTCAAGTCTCTTCTTCAAATTGACTTCTGATGCATCCAATTCTCTTTCCTGTCAGGCTTTTACGTTCAGCCTTCCCAAGCAACCAGAGGATTCTCCAAGCATGGCCTCATCCAAGCCATTGAACTTTGTAAACCCGTCTTCCAGCACCAGCAAGAGCAGCCTTCCTTCAGCGGCAGCCCCCTCCTTCAGGATCACCAAAGTCCAGTCTCCAGGCAAGGACAACGAGGACGAGAGTGAAGAATCAGAGTATGGGATCAAGCCTGCCAAGACTCTCAAAACAGGAAGCTGCTTAGAAGTCTTGGGAATCAGTGAGTCATTCCGACACTTCTGATTATCAAAGCTTTATTCTGAAACGTTGATCAAAATGGCTCTCTCTCCAAACTTCGACGTGGACCTAAAATTTGAAAATGACTGGAATTGCAATGATACCCATATGGTGGAGTAATGATGGAATGTATAGATTATGTAATTTCAAGTCAGTTAGCATTCTAATTGGTGGTAAACAAGCTCAAGAACACAGCTGATTCAGTGTTACAGTTTGTGAGATAATTATGGCAAATTGTAAGTTGCTCTGGAAAAATACTTTGCCTTTGAGAATGATTTGGCGGTGATTGGGCCCTCTAATCTTTTAGGTTATGCAATGTGAGGTGTTTACAACCATGGTTGCAAAAATGCTTGAGTGTAATGGCTTTGTCCTCATTTCTGAAGTTGCACCTGCAGAAACAGCAATGACAACATCACAAATAACAGTGGCTCCTGCCAACGACCCATTTGCAAAGTTGAAACCACCTGCTGGTGCATGGAATTGCGACACTTGCCTCGTCCAGAACAAGGCTAACGACAGCACCTGCCTTGCCTGCCAGACTCCTAAACCTGCATCAGAACCCCAGAGCAACGCCACCTCAACGACTTCAGACAGTGCCCCAGTTTCATCCAATGACTTACTAGCCAAGGTCAAACCTTGCTTACTTCAGAATAAAAAAGAAGCTGACAAATGCGTAGCGTGTGAGACCCCCAAACCTGCAGAAATGCAAAAAACTGCCTCACCACCACTTAGCAATTCCCTGCTGGACAGGTTCAGACCAACCCCTGGAAGCTGGGAATGCAACACCTGTCTAATAAAAAACAAATCTGATGCAGACAAGTGTATCTCCTGTACGACGCCCAAACCAGGTGCTTGTGGTTTGAACCCACCTGCCTCTAGTAATGCATTAACAAACTCATCCGCCAAGGGTGGCTTGGGGACTAAATTGAACCCCTCTGATGTCAATGGCACCAACTCTTCTGTCTCAACCAAAACGGACAATGTCATGGACAAGTTTAAATCACCGTCTGTTTCATGGACTTGTGACACCTGTTTGATACAGAATAAAGAGTCAGCTGACAGGTGTATAGCATGCGAAACGCCAAAGCCAGGAAGTCAACCAACGCTCAAAACACCGCCGGGTATGAAAAAACTCTTCATTCTTTTTTCTCGTTATTTATAATTGAATTGTATCCAAGTGAAACGTTCACCAATGGCAGCAGAGTTGAAAAGACTTGGTTCATTTGAAGATATCTTCCATCTCACGCAATGAGTGAATATTTTACGTATTCCGTAAGAATCAATTTTGTCTTTCTTTTCACAGTTTCAGCATTCAAATTTGGAAGCCAATCAGTTTCAGGGTCCAGCAGCACAGCAGGTAGTTTCAAGTTTGGCGGTACCAACACAGATAGTACCTTCAAGTTCTCCTCGGGCAAGCTGAATGTGCCGTCTGATGGGCTTACCTTTGGAGCACCGAAGACATCAACTAGCGGGATTCAGTTTGGATTGTCTAAAGACAACACCTCCTCTGGCTTCAAGTTTGGTTCAAGTTCAGACTCGCAGACCAAGACTAACTCCTCGACGGCAGCTGACGGCATAACGTTTAGCTCAGACAAAGCCAACAAATCAGATAGTGGATTGAAGTTGGGGGCGCAGGCAGTCTCGGCTGGTGAGTCCACTCAAGATACGCCAACAGTCAGTTCCAGTTTCCAATTTGGCTCTGCATCAACAAAGTCAGACTCTGTCCCTCCAAATGTGGACCCATTTAAAACAGCCTCATCAAGCAAAACAAGCTTTGGTTCAGGTTTAGGTGCAAATACTGTAACGACAGATACTCAAGAAACGGACTCAATAGCCAAACAGAAACAAGGGTTCACGTTTGGCTCAAGCAAGGGTGATACCCCCAAAGTGAATTTTGGCAGCTCAGTCACAGATCAGAACCAGACCGGTGCCAAATTTTCTTTTGGGGCCAAGGCACCAACAGACGATGCCACCAAACCAACCACATTTCAATTCACTGCTAGCACCAATTCTCCAGCTTCAACCTCCCAGGACTCTGTTGAGAAACCAACCCTAAAATTTGGTGCCTCGTCATCAGTCGTTGAAGACGCACCCAAGCTGGTCAGCGTAAGTTCTGGATTCAGTTTTGGAGGGGCCGCAGTGAATGCCACAGACTCGACGCAGCAACTGTCTCACCAGAACAGTGTGGCTCCAACCTTCCAATTTGGCAAGCCCAACTCAGGAAGTGATGAAGCAGGCACTGGCCATCCACCCCTCAAAAAAGGAGTGACTTTTGCCTCTCCCGTTGAGCAGCAATCAGCAACAGAGGTTAAGAGTGCCTTCGCTTTTGGCGGAACGCCCAGTGAGCCATCAACATCGCAGCCTACTCCTTTTGTCTTTGGAACAACTGACAAAGGTATTGTTCTTCCTCATGCAAACTATTCTACCACTCTCATTTTGACAGATTTATGTTTGGCAAAGTGTTTCTCTAAGGGTCAGTGGAAGAGGTTTTTGAAGAGTGGACCAGTTTCAGGCCAATGCAAGTTTATACAAACACGCAGCAGTCGGTCGTCGAGGAGCTGTTGAATGTCCCATTTTACTCTAAATTGTAAAGTTCCCTTTGTATTCTCATTGGGTTTGAAGATCTGAAATGGTACATTCCAATCACCTCTTTGGTTAGCAGAAGGTTTACTTTTCCTCCTGTTTGCAGGTGACACTGCTTCCAAGCCAAATGGTGGTATCACGTTTGGAACACCAACACAAACAACAGCACCAACACAGTCTGTTGAGCCCTTCACATTTGGAGCAGGTGGGTAGAGAGACAAATTGGTTTATATTTCCTGAAAAGAAGTAACCCCAATTCAGACAGGTGTTCTACAGTCGTGCTGAACCGAACAGAATTAAGAGTGACTCAGGTCGACCTGATTAAATTTTGGTTTCAGACAGACAAACTTAATGCAAAGATTCGAATTGAGTTTGATCCATGAAAAGAGCGACGTTTGAAACCAAGTCGCTCTGGTGTCATCCCGAGCACCTTCAGGTGTTGAACTTTTGCCTGCTAGCACACTCGGCCACTCTTAATTGTTTCGGACATTGAACTTTTGCCATACTATAGGGAAAGAAAGCCTGTCTGAAATAGGTTTAAGATTCAAGAATGTAGTAAGCAACAACGAACCACAAACAACTGCAACCATAGGTTACAACCATTGTATTGTCAAAGTGACAATTGTTAGACACACAAACGTGTATTTGTAAACAGTTTCTCTTGCATGGCTATTTGTTTTGCTTTGGAATCCTACAATGAGTGTTCCGATGTCTGACTTTTCAGTGTTGGCAGGTATAAGATAAAACAGGTGGAACATGTTTTTTTCTTTTTTTTTGTTTGTTCAGGAACCAATAACAGCAAATCAGCAAGCTTCAACTTTTCAGCATCCTCCAATCAAAATGCTGCCCCAGCATCAGATGGTTTCAAGTTTGGCTCCACGTCAACGTCAGTAGCATCGACCCCTACTCAGCAGAACCCACCAGCATTCGGAGGTAGGGTGTGATCCAGGGGTACACCATCAAGAGGTGGCGGTTTTCAAAATGAATTGGGAGTATAAAAGTTCATGCTTACTTCTGTCTTCAAACTGAATAGATTTCACTTCACAAACAAAATACCTCTATTAGACCTTGCATCGATAATGTTTGGTCAGCAAACAGAAAGTCTCCTTTTTCTCTCTCTATTTTTTTAATTTGTTGTTAAATGTTAGCATTTATCTTTCCTCTTTAGTGAATTGCTTTTAATTGTTCCATTCTTTTATATTTTTCTTCAAGGCTTTAGTAGCTCAGCCTCTTCCTCCAACACCACCTTTGGCTCCGCCTTCGGGAGCCAACCAGCTACTAATTCCACCTCAAATCCCTTTGGTGGCCAGCAATCATCCCAGGCTTCAGTCCCAGCGTTTGGTGCCCCAAGTGGGACCAGCGTGTTCGGCAGCTCAGCCACGCCTGCATTTGGTGCCACTGCGTCGGCGGGCAGCTCCGGATCATCCACGCCAACGTTTGGTGCAGGTGGAGCTGGTACTGCCCCGGGGTTTGGCAGCGCTACTCCCAGCTTTGGTTCTGGCACAGTAAATACCACAATGGGTAAGCAATTCCCAAGTACTGCATGAACCAAGTTGGTATTTCCAGAAGACAAGTTCAATCAGGAACAAAGTGTGCGCGCGAGCCTGCGTATGGCTAAGATGATTGGGCACAACTCGCACACGCATATTTGCTGTTTCTAAATGATGTCGGCTGCCGTTGTTTCAGGCATGTGTAGTTGGAATAACAAACTGGCTCATTAACATGGAGTTTGATTAGATAAATTTTTGTTATCACTGTTGGTGCCATTTTGGGATGAATTGGCTTACTCTTGGTTTCATTACCTAATTCCAGGGTTCCAACCAGAGGCTGCGCCATCCTTCAACTTTGGTGGCAGCAACCCTTCATCAGGGACCACGCCAGGGGTGTTCACCTTCGGAGCCAGCAACAACCAGAATGCTGTCCCTACTGTTGCTGCTCCACAAGCAGCAACAACTGGAGGATATAACTTTGGGCAATCAGCCTCGGGATTTGGCATGCAAGGTGGCGCCCAAAATGCCGCAGGTGCTCCAGCATCTGGGGTTTTCCAGTTTGGGTAAGAAAACAAGACTTGGGTTTTGATTTGTCAAGACTTGTTTAGTTGTGGCAGGGTACATCTGAAGTGAAGCAGCCAGGAGAAGTTTAGAATAACTTGAATTCTCTATCTTTGCAGTTGGTCAAGCTCAAATGCTCCTTGATTTATTTCTAATTTGCACATTTTTTGTAAATTGCCAACTAGTCCATTTCCAAATTCGCCACATGTCAAATGTTCCTAGCATTTCGGCCGAGTTTTTAAGTAGTTTTCCTCTTTCTTCCTACAACAACAGATCTAACCAGTCACAGCCCCAAGCACCTGGTGCTTCGTTCACATTTGGCGCAGCAGCGGGTACTGGACAGCGCAAGTTCCGGAAAGCTGTCCGCAGGACAAGGAAAACATAACAGCCCTGTCAACTGGCTCTAAAGCCTCCAAAGCACCACCTCTTGGGTAACATTTCATCTTCTTACTCGTCTTGATGGAGTCTGCGTAGTTAGTGATTTTAGGATTAATTTGGTCTCACTGACCAGCTCTTGAATAGTAGCTGACAGACTGGTGACAACGCTTTGCCTAAATAAATTATCCCTGAATTCTCAAGCGTGCCACTGTTTCAGTTTTAGCCATCCATACAGCATCTTTTGTTGACTTCATAAGCTACCTCCCTCAATTCCCCCCCCCTGGTTTGGGTGGTAATATATTTCTTTTGATAATCTTCATCTAGCAAGCTCATTCCTCATTGATGTTGAAGATGTGCAGTTAGAAATGCTGTTGGAAAGCAGATGCGCTAATTCATTGGGCAAAGTGGCATTTAGGAGGAAGTTTTTATTGATCTTGTGCAATGTTGAATCCCCTTCTTGGAGCTGAAGTTCAGCATGTGTTCTCCCAGGTTTAGAAGAAGAACATAAATGCTGTAAAACAGAAACTGAGAGAATTTGGGCGGCAAACGCAGGAAACAACACTAAGCCTTGCTGGTTGTGCTCAGATAACTTTGAACGATGGAAATTGAATACACTGCTGTCACTTTCAGTGTCATCAATAGAGCACACAATCCTGTCCGATGAGAGCTCATCTGAAGTGATTCTTGTCCCATCTTTCCAAGTGTACAACAGCACCACCTGTCCAAAGCTGGATATATAGAGAGAGTAGCATCAACGTCAGACTTTGGAACCAAAATGGCCGTTCATTATATGTGCAGTGCAGCATGCAGCTGTTGTGTGCTAAATGTTCACTGTACACTGATGCATCATCCGCCATTTTGGGTCCAACAATTGAGACACTCATGTTGCAGCTCTCTATAACACAGCTCTAGACCTGTCTTCAAATCCTAACTGAAAGAAGGTCGAGTCCACCAATTATTTTGGCTCACATTTCCCTTAAAAACTGAGAATGTTCATCATTTCTCAAGAGCTTGTGGACTTGCTATATTTCTTCTGGGGGAATAGATTACTTTGAAATCCAGTTTAGCTGTATCTCCCGCAAATATCTGCTGATTGAGCTGAGTTCGCCAGTGACAGGGAGTGGACTTTCAATCTTGAAGGCAGTAAAGCCAAGTGTGATACAAATTGATTGAGAACTCCATTATTGCTCTCTCATTGTTGGATTTTACTGCCAGGGGACTATTTATTCCAGAAGTCTCCAACGAGGGAAAAAGTTTTACATGAAGCTGTCTGACTTCTTTTCTGGGATCGTCAGTTTGAAGAATGTTCATTTGTCTATTTTGAATGGCCAGTCATCACATTTGAATTGTCCAGTGTTGATGTATTTCTGTGCATGTTGTTTGATTTTTTACCTGGATTCAAACTCCAAATTTTAGTTTTACTCTTTGTTTGTGGGTGAAAAAGTTTGTAAATAGTGCATATTGTAAAGTCAGGTGGTTGTTTATATATTATTTGTTTTGTTGATTTTTGGTCTTTTGTGCTATGAACTCACTTCCAGCCATAACTGGGGGCGGGTTGAAAATCTTGCTGAGGTTACAAAAAGAATAGGTCCGTGTAAAAATGTGCCAAGAAGGGTTGAATGTCTTTCCCACAAAAATGGTTGATGTGCTCTCCAAAAATATCTTGGCACTCGGTTTGTATGATTTAGGATTGAGTCAGGATCTGGCTGTAACCTAAGTGATTTTTCAGCCGTGGTTGGAAACCAGAAATGGCATTCAGGTTCATTTTTTTTCCCATACCCTAAGATGACAAACATGTTACTTTCACGTTTTTTTCTGATCTTCACTTAAGACAAGAAAATTATGGTCATGCGTCTGTTGATATGTTTTCCGTCTTAAAACTGTCGTCAATATTTTTAAACTTGGAAGAAACCATATTGAAAATGCGGTTTCTTCAGAATCTTCAGAAATTTAACTGCATGAAATCGCCTGGATGGGTTTTCTATACATGCAGCGCTGTACTGCACCTGTAGAAGCCCTACCTTATAATGTATGTTTGTCGTGTTCTGTAATTGGCTTTCCAAGTACATCTTTTGATGAGCTTCTCATTTATCTGTGCCAGACGTGTACTTGATTGTCTTGAAAATGTATAAGCATCATGAATTTGAAAAAAAAATGAAGACCTAAAAATTTGATGAATCATAAGAAAATGTTCAGCATAAAGCAACGCATCGTACATGTGTTGTGCCAAGACAAAATTAAGGCTTGAACGCCAATTAAAACCATCATCCTCAGTAAGTTTAGTAGACTTTTTTACTCTTTCTGAAAAGAAGAAACTATAGATGCCTCTTAGTTATGTTTTAATCAATGCTCTTTGTTCAGGAATTGATCAGGAATTGAATTTGGAGTAAATCTAATTGGTAATGTGCTTCCTATCAGATAACATGACTACCATTGATCAATAGCTGTGTACATGTAGAGAGTGTAGGGCCAACTTCAGACTTTGGCACCAAAATGGCTGGTCACTGTCAGTGCAGTACAGCGTGCAGCTGTTATGTGCTAATGAGCCAGTGTAGCATTTCAACAGCGCGTGCCCACTATGAGGGTATTCAGGAACGGCTACGCACATGTGCGATCGTCTGTCCTATCAGTGCAGCCATTCCTGAAAGACCTTGGCTTTTGGAATTCCAGACTAACTCACTGTCCATGTGCACTGAAGCATAATCCACCATTTTGGTTCCAACAAATAAGAATTTGAGACACCTGTGTCACAACTCTGTCTGTAAACAGCTGTGACTTGAACAGTTTTTCTTTATTCCTTTCACTTCACTGCCATTAGATAGGTCCCCGTGTTGTCAAATAAGCATTTCAGAATTGCTTAGATTGGATGATGCCAAACAAAAAAATTAAGCAAGACCCGAACTATTATGCAAATTTTTAAGGACAGTGTTGATGACAAAAATAAAAGTAATAACAGAGATTTTATGTTTCGTCATTAGAAACGGTAGAAATTAGTGGAGGACAATTTTATACTTTGTATACAGGGTCTATGACAACGGGATACTTTATGCCAAATCATATACTTTAACTTCCTGTATGTATGCTTGCTACACATTCTCTCTTCAGTGACATAATAACATTACCTTTGAACATAGTCAACCTCAAACTGTGTTTATAATCAATTTTTTGACACACTGTAGCCTGAAACGAAGCTGTGGAAAAAAATCATTGTTTCAGCCTGAGCTGATATTTTATATTTAAAAGGCTCGTTTACTCTGTCAGTTTCTTTTGGATAATATAATACATCTTGAAGTAACCAATACAGCACTGTTTATTTCCTGTGATCTTTTTCTCTGCTTTGCAAACTCGGTGACAAGCAGCGGAGGCATTGTGTATTTTTGGCATATAAACCTCCAAACAAACTGTATTCCTCAGTCCAAAATCTGTTCTCTTGATCTCAGTTTTAGCATTTACAGAAACTGAGGGAAGACTAACTTATTTGGTTATTTATTGGTACTGTAACTAAGTCCAAGAACACTAGCGTCATCTCTCCCTCAGAAAACTTTGCATCTAATTACAATGGCAAAATTGGAATTTTTTTATCAGTTGCATGAAATCTGGGAAGAAAAAAGCATCAGATTTGGTCAGATTTTCAAATTCTTCTGAACCTCCTCTCAAGGTTAGCCATTTTGTAAATTGAATGGAGAGAAGCCATTCTGAATGTAATTTCATAGGTATCCCATCATGCTCCACACTACCCATGATGCCTCATTGTTCCCAAGATGCCTCATTACAAGACAGAGAGGCATGTGACTTCATTCTGACGGTGTATTATTTCTCATGGTTGATCGTTCAGGATATGCCGTGTTTCAAAACTTAAATTGTATTGTATGATGCATTGCGTATTCCATGATGCATTATGTATCCCACAATGCACCATGTATCTATCCCATCATGCACCACTCACTCGAGGCATCCTCATATTACTTACAATTGTTTCATTACATACCGTCACAATGCATATTTCCATAAGCGTCTTTTTTCCTCTCATAATCAGAATTCACAGATTGTTGCATTTTATCTGTTTAATGTAAACAAAGTTGGTCAGATACGAGGCATGTTACGAATGATATCGCCTTATATTTTGTCCTATGTTGTGGTTTTGTTACTTGTACAAAAACTGTAAATATTGAGCCGTGGCCAGAACCATTTTTGTAAAGGGACAATTTTTTATTCACGGTGCAATGTGTGTAATTTATTTTCCCAATTTCAACTTTAGTAAGACTAATATTTTGTACTTAGGTAGGAATGAACCTCTGATACACTTAGTGTATTTCATTTTTTCCTCTTCTTGCACCAATCCTGTCTTTAAAAAAAGCTAAGATTTATTTTCACAACAAATGATGAATTCAACCCTTGTACAGGAATGGTCTGGCCCGGTTCTTGTGGCAAAAAGTACACAATAATAATTATGATATTAAAAAATAAACACTTTTATGAGTTTGTTATGAATTGCGTACCATGTCAGAAATAAACGCCTTTTATCCAAAGTGTGTATTTATATCCAAAAAAACCTCTGACAATATTGTCTTTTAAAAATGTCATTTGACAACAGATGAGAGCTGTTTGTGATTCTATAGGGAATATCTGGTGTGAAATGTGTGAATGTGCGTAAATTTTAGGATATTGTGAGTATGAGAGTTTAAAACATGTTTGAATTTCCAGCTATGTAAAAAAAAATGAAAGGGCATTTATTTCTGATGTGGTTCCCTTGCAGAATTATTGTTGTATATAGTTTTTATGGAGCTTGTTAATTGACGGAGAACCCATTGGAAGCATTGACAATGTGGAAAAATAAATAAAAGAAGACAGATTGTAGCCACCGAATGGACACAAGTGGACCGATTCATTCTCAATCGATGGTCCCTTTTTTGCTAGATTTTCTTGTAAAAGATATAAGATTACGGACACCAACACTGTTGTGTGTTTTTTTCAGATATTGAAGACTTTTTCGTATGTGGACGCACGCGAAAGCCCTTTAAAATGACCCACTATCAAATCAATGTAATGGAAGTTTCCATTTGACAAAATTTGCCGTTTTACTTAACTTTGGTCCAAAGCTTTATATGTACATTCATCCTTTCAAAAAATACACTGTAACAACGGTACTTGAATATATTTTGTTCATGGCTAGATTCAACCACCAGAGGGCGCGTTTTGAAGAAAAGTTCACGGCGGGTCGATCCGGCCGGCTAGGCTTAATTCACGCGGCAAAATTAATCTCTTCTGGAAAGTTGCAAAGTGAAAGTTCTTACAATCGAAATCAATCAACCGGAAGTTTTGGCAATGCAAGGCGACTGGTGGCACCGTGGTTTTCCCAACAAATCCAGGGATCGTTATGATGCATTTTCGAGCTCCTCGCGTGCTTGGGAGATACCGAAAACGGACCCGGGAACGTCGCCGAAAATTGTCACCTTGACGGTACAGCCGCTGGCTGACAGCAGCGTGATGAACCAACACTGCGCAAGCCGAAGTCGTCATCTCAGTATGGCCTCAACGGAGAGTCTCCTGGCGCAACGACGTAGAAAATTAAGCTTTAAAAACAGAACTCTTCAAAATAACTCAAGTAAGTGTGGATTTTGAAACAGAGCCTTCACCACAAACGAGGCCTTCGGCTTGAGCAAAAAAGACACGCATGACACAGGCCAAGGCCTACCCATTTGAGGCCAACACAACAAAGAAACAAAAGTCAGAGTTGGACGTGATTCTTCTGAAGATGGCGGTGCAGTTGTTCGTTTTGTAAGGGGCATGAAATGAAAAATCATAGAACTTGAGGCCTAGGCTAGATTTAGGAAGGAGTAGGCCCCTATCTAGGAACAAGCGTTGTTCACGTTGTTACATGTATGTTGTCCCAAACGTTAGACTAAAATACAAAAAGTCCCAGAACTTCCAAATATGAATAACGTAGGGCCTAGGCCTACTCAAGTTTTCCCTTAAAATGTTATAACACTAACACTAACAGCCATTTCTGAAAAAGAGAAATTTAGCTTAGAAAATTCTTAAGCATTTAGGCCCTAGGCCAACTTAGGTTTTTTTCAGACAAGTCTCACACTCACAATAGGCCTACTGCACAAGGGCTCCATGTTGCTTCCCAAATACGCATTTTACTATATTTTTTAGGGTTGATTTGGGAAATTCTTCAGACTAACGTTTGGCTTATTACTGTTTAATTGTTTCATAGAGACCACATTTTATTTTTGACTATGATTGGCTGTCTAGGACCCAGACAATGCCAGACCGATGTTTGTATCAGTTTCACAAAGGCCCAGGACTAGCAACTTTTAAAGAAATTTTCATATATTAAGTTTTTATTTTTTGTTATCATCTTCCTAGGACCACTAAGCATGTCTGGTACACGGGAAAGTTTGGAAATGCAAGACCTTACTTGGACAAATTTCTTTGAAAAGCACTTTCGCACCCGGTAAGTAAGTGCTTCTTTTTGGGGGAGGGGGTGTCATTTACATGCATGTATGTTTGCTTTTAATTCAAATAACATCTTCATTTACATTTTCAAAAGTTTTTTGATTAGTAGTTGATGTTGTCATTTGTGTAATTTTCTAAAACATTTTTGCAAGTAGTTCTTACTTTTTAACATTTTTAAAGTGAATGTTTGTGTTTATTGTATGAGCAGGCAACGCATTTTGAAATCCTTGTTACATTTTGAAATCATGACACATGTTGACAGATTTAGCTTTTCTTCCTTCTTACAAGTGTTCATCAACGTCATCAGGTTCCTATGCATGCGCAGTGCCCGATTAATTAATTACTCTCTGTATACACAAGCGTGTTGATCCAAATGTCTTTGAAATATGGCGCAGCCGATGTGTGTCACGAAAATTTGATGTCTAAGAAGCCAATGCACATGGCAACCTATTGGAAGTGACGTCACCTACAGCAGGAAAAAAAACGGTGAGACTGTGTAAGCCTGAGTAGGCATCAATCACTGTAAGAGCACAGTTTTAGAATGTCTGTCTAAGTTGGAAACAGTTTATTTATTTTTATTATTTGAATTAAATTTCTTGCTGAAAAGTCATCTTGGGAAGTTGATTCTTGACTCTTGATACATTAAACACCCAGGCACACCAGTTCATCCTTTATTTGATCTTCGTTGACCCCATAAATACCTGAGGAGTAATACACTTAGATCTACTCTGAGGAAGGATTTATCGTTATAGAAATGTGATTAATGAGGGGGAGATCACTGACTCCGACCATGGAAGAATTGTCAATTCAGGACTTGGGAAATGGACAGTCTCTCCCTTGTAGTGCTTCATCTCTGGCTGTGATGCCCCCGGCCAGCCAGCTACGACTAGTTTGCCAGGATTTACTCAGGCAGCTCACATTGGCTGCAGTTTGGGAGTTTCAGCATAATCCTCTTTGTGGGGAGATATTTCTTTGGGATCTGAAGTGGTTTCTGTCTTTTCCTATCGTCTGTGGTCAGAGTGTGTTTGAGAGGGAGAACATTGGCACATGTAGAGTCAGACATGTATGTGGTTGTCTTGACTAAAGTTTATGTGGCTGTTAAAGACATTGACAAAATAAGTAACACGTAATTTTGTTTTGCTGCTTCAAATTGTGAAAATGACAAAAATGTAACACAACTTACTGTGGCATTCATGTTACGGTGTAGCCTTCTGGCGTGGAAATGCCACGGGTTTACTCACAGCTAATAAAGAGAAGTCAGACCGTTTGAGGGACAGCTACCAGACTTGGACACCATTCACGACATTGCATTATAATTGCCATTTTCCAAAGTGTTACAAACAATTATGTTGAGTACTTGGGCCTAAATACTTTCAAACTCTGCTACCCAGCCTAGCTGTTCAAGAGCAATCAATTGACTCGTCAACTTCCCCCCCCCCTCATACAGGATTGGAAGCTCCAAGGCCGTTTTAATAGGGGTGAAATCAGTGAAGCTGTCCATGGGCATGTACATGTATGGAAAACCCTAAATACCCAGCAGGGGTAATGAATAGGCCCCATCCACTTTGTGCAGGCATATTTTCAATGGCCTTATAAATAACTAAAGGGGACTGAATTCACCTCATCAGTGAGACAGGTGTAGTGGTGGCTAAGTTACTTGTGTTGAAGTGAATGCTGAGAGATATACACTAAACAGTGTGTTGATACATCAATAGGACCCCTGTCCACAGGGTCAGTGGTGAAACTTACTAGTAGGCAATAAGTGCTCATGGGGTCAAGAGAGTAAGAAATTCCAGCACCTGTCATTGATGGACAGTTACAGGTATGTGTACATGTATATAGCCAGATGTTAAATTAAAAAACTTTCAAAAGTAAAGTTGATCTGAACCTAAAGGAATTCCCATCTTTGTTTCCTTGCTTCATGCATATATACTAAAGCAGCTGCACCTGTTGGGTTTATACAAACTTATACCAGGCTTAATACCAGCATACTGCAAGTTTTATGAATGGAATTCCTCGGTACAGCCTGTGCAGCAGGTGTCAGCAAAAGAATGATTCCCTGAACAAATCAGGAATCCAAACATTGGATTGATGCTAAGTAGGGATTGAATTGCCTGCTTAACCTTGTGCAAATACTGTTGAGTAAATAAACTGGTGGAAATTTTCTACAGATGGGTCTGAACCTGTATTCGACTGTTGGTAAAAAAATTAATGAAATTATCCAACCAAACTTGAAATGTCAGCAATTATCTCTAACATTTCATCATGAATAAAATTGGGATCAAATTTCCCTCCTGTGTCATTCTGTCATTATACTGCAGGTTGGCTTTATTGATATTGTTGACGAAAGGATTAACCCCAGATTTACTGTAGTGTGCCCCTGATAGGAGAAGTTTAACCTAAGACCCCCCCTCCCATCTGTGGACAGAAGGACTTGTGTCAGAGTCACCCTAAGCTGAAGCAGTCCTGCAGGAATTTGGAGGGGTTGTGCGCCCGCCGTTATTTTTGTGTCCTTGGAGTGACAGTGTGATCATGCAGAAGTACTGTTGGTACTGAATGATGGACTTGACCCACCTTTAGATCTGCCAGGTTGTTCCTTTTTACAGTTGGGACAACAAAACAATTTTAAATGGTTTGTGTTATGCTGTGCAACGTCAGGATCTCCTATACATTTGGACCGTGCGTCTTTGAGACTGGAAAGCACAATTGGTTGGAAGGAATTTGAGTTGCTGCATCCGGAGCCTGTTGCACTTCTCTTTCACATGGCTTTAATTTGCTAGGCCAACATTTGAGGCTCCTGTGGAGCTGCTTGTTCTGTTACACAGGGCACTTTCACAGCCATTTGTTGCTAGGTTGTCCACCTCAAAGACAACAGTAAGGGCTGCGACTTTTTTGTGGAGTTCATCAAAGACTATGTGTCTAGTGTTAAATTTTTCATACATGTACCTTTTGATCTGCCGTCTACAACTCGGTATTGTGCAGTATGAGAAGAAACTCTGTGAGAGCTTGAGTGTTCATCAGAAGTCATCAAACACAGTGTGTAATGATGTCTCCCACTGAGATTCTTGCAAGACACTCGGGATGAAATCCGACAAAGGAAAGCCAGGGATGCACTTCCGCGGTTTTTCTGTCAAGATCGGGGAAAAGGGCATTTCAATCCAGCAGAACCTGACCCCACTGCCAGAGCCCAGGGAACCAAGGGGTGGAGTCATCACCAGGCCCCGCCTCCGATACACAAGACACACCCATGGTGAAGGGGCCACACCCATGGGATACCCTAAAGGGCCAGTCTTTCTAGACTGGGCTAGCACAAAGTAAGTTGTCCTCAAATTCCCCCTTTTTTAAAATTGGTTACAGGTTTTCATAATTTTGAGTAAGCACAACTTTGGCATTCTCAGGAACAATTTGTGGAACT